ATAAAGTAGTATAATAGCTTATCAAATGTTCAAATCAAATGCATGACGTGCAGTGAGATACAGGAGACTGTTTAACTTCTCTTTGCAAAACAAAAAAAAACATTACATGCAACCAAGTTACTTGGCAGCCGTCAATCTACGCTGCAGAAAACAAAACAAACGGAACTAAGTACACTTCTCTCTAGTACTCACATGTGAAAAGCGATTCAAGATTAAGCAAACCAAAAAAACCTAACAGGGTATTTGGCAAACAGTTGCTGTCAATAATTAACAAGTAAATTATTTGTTGCCCGCTGCTGTGGTTGGGGCAGAAAGAGAGCACTCACGATAGCACTCACGATAGCTTCCAAGCGCCCAGCAGCAGGATCAGCACCCTGGAGAGCGCCATGGTGCACAGCCGTGACAACTTAAACCACCCAAACAACATCATACTACTTCATTCTTTGGCACTGAATGCTCACATAATATATACACATCAAACTAATCACTCTATCAATGGAGCTGATTTTTTGCTTATTGTAGACAGACTAACCTTAAGACTTGATGGACGGATTTCCTAGAAGTAAACGATGGTCATGGGTATTTTGAGCTTCTGAAATTATGTTCACAAACAATTAAAAATGTTAGATTTATTTCTTAGCAGTACGACCCTTGAAGGCAGTTTTAGTTTATAAATGCAAATGCTCCATATTTGTATAGCGCCTTTCTAGTCTTTTCGACCACTCAAAGCGCTTTTACACTACATCTGCATTCACCAGTCATACACATTCATACACTGGCGGAACAGCCAGTGTGAAAAGATTAAGAGAAAAGAAAAGATTATTAAAAAGTACCGCTTTAGGTGAAAGGACCTGTTTCTTTATCTCCAGCTCCCTCTTCTGGGTCTTCACTTCTTTATCAACATCCTCCCTCCCCTGCTGCTTATCCTGGAGCCTCTTCTCCAACTGAAAAGAACGAGATCAGATGACATTTTGTTTTATGAAGTAAATGTTCTGAGATCTGAATGACTACTTATTTTTGATTGGCTAGAAGTTGTGCACTAATATCTTTTAAAATTTATTTGTAGTCAAAACTATTGTTCATGATGTTTTGCTGGCAAAGCAGAGAAATTCTGATAAAAGGCAGTGTAAATAAAAACTACAACAATTATAATATTCATTAGGACACACTTGTGCTTGTGTGTCCTAATGAATGTGCTTCTTTTCAGCCACTTACAAGGATGCCCAGGACAGTTTAACCTTCCTAGATTAGTTTTCAATCAAAGATTATCACATCTTTCTTCACATACAGGTTTGCACCGTATGACCTGAAGGTGCACTGCAGCAAACACAGCTGATTTTGTTCTCTGTGATAGCGTACACAACAATATCTGGATTTAAATTATTGACAGCAGCCTCAGCTGGTCTCCAGCTTGGCCAGGTACTCTAACCAACACAAGTGGCACTGTGGGTGGGCAAGAAGCCAGTGAGGGATGAATGTCTTGCACAGGTTTATACATTGTTTATATATGTAACCCCCAAAAATTAAACAAAAGTAATTTCTGATGGGACCCCCCTGTTAGTAGAACAACAGAATTTGAAATCACTGTCACAAAAACAAAACTAGTAATGCTTTCTTCCTTTTCTCCTGACGGACAGCAGAGGACTTTGTCAAATGAATGTAAACAACTGTTGCCTTGGGTCATTTGCTGAAATGACTGATGCCAAGACGGGACAGGATTAGAGGTCTGCAAGCCCTGTGAGTCCTGATCAGGCTCAGGACAGACTCTGGCTCATTGACCTTCTCTCCTTTCATTGTGCCCATATGTGCGCAGAGCACACACAGGATTCTGTATAACATGTTGTTATATTGATTATATTTTAAACATTATAGATAGCCGAAGCAATAGGCATGTAGGCCACTTGTGCATTACCATGCAACAGTTGAGTACTAACTACTTTAAATGTCAAGTCTTTCAGTATCATTGTTCCTAGCTAACGTTACAGTAGCTCGGGCCTGCTGCTGTTTGCTTTGTAACATTCAGTTTAGGTTTATTGTGTGTTTTACCAATACTGTTTTACCAATACTCAGGTACACAGTTTCTCCACCTCTCCCCATTATGTGACCCACATAATATACAATACCGCGACTTCACAGCGACAACAACACAGAGGAAGAGCTACAGTGTAGAACCTAAACGCTTCGGTGTCGAGATGATCCGATCAGCGCTGGCTTTCCTCACTTGTGTGCAACAGGTTAAGCTAGTAGTGAATTTTACTAGCGTTCACAGCAGGACCACCAGGCTGTACATTTTTAATTTTAATAAAAGCAAACAAAAACAAAAATTTTAATTTAATAAAGTCTTTACCGTATATATTTAATTTAACCCTCCCTTTGTCTGCTGGTGGGAAGACCTCTCTGTTCATCAAACAATCTTCAAAATGCTTTTATCTTTCCATAATCAACCCACACACAGCTCGGACATATCTCTGTCAGAAGTCGTCCCTGCAGGTGACTATCAAGACATCTGATCAGAGAACCTTTCTAGTTGAGTTTCATTCCACACCAGACACCCGGTAGGCATGTATGACTTTTTAATTACCTACATTTTTTTAGTCATGCCACTAAACCTTGCAGTACATTCACATGCTCATAAATAAACATTGTGTAAGTTGTTGTTGAGATACCATAGTTATGTAGATTCATTCTACAGTGTAGAACCTATATATGTCAACACTGCTTCTCAGATCCTTCACTGTCAAGATTATCTGATCAGCATGGCTTTGCTCGCTAGTGTCCTCAATTTTTTTTCTTAGCTTAGTTTACTGACAGGTGAAAAGGGCATGCAATAGGTCAGGGTAATGGTGCATTTTAATAGTGTTCACTGCGGGACCACAAGGCTAACTATTTCACTACTCCACTTCTTCACTTATAGGCTGTACATTTTGAATTTGAACAGGTCATTACCGAAAACTGATCAGAAAACATTTCTACTGGAATTTCATTCCACACCAGACACCTGCTGGGTATATGTTACTATAATTAACTGCATTTTTTCATCATGCCACTACGGACCTGGTAAACATTGTGAAATTTTTTCTGGCCAGAGCTTATATGCAAAACGATTGATCACTTTACTTCTGCTAGCAAGCAAATTCTGGTAGCTTGTTTTTTAACTGAGTGGAAAAAATCCGATTTTACCTACATCCGTATTTTAGTAGGGAAGTAAAACACAATACTGCTCTCCACAGTCTATGTATTTTTTAATTTGTAGAAATGTAAAAGAATAAAAAACATTTGTGAAAACGACCAAATGTGTTATTTTGTTACATCTGACATCTGGCACAAATGTTTGGTTGTCTCTCCATTATCAATCCTATATTTTTTTTATTATAAAGTGATGTCATTTTGACAAGTTGATAAACCAGCAGTGCCTTCACAGACAGAAAGTAATTAGCAAGGACTTGGGATGTTCTCAAGCATAGCACATAATCTGACACTTCCCAATAGTTATTCTAAGTGAGATATTACTTTGCAAATAAATTTATCACTATTAACTTTACTTCAATTGACAGCAAAAATCTAACCTCAAACACTTTTAACACAACAAACACAGTAAAGTAAACAATTATAATAACCATAAAGTAAAAACTAAACTCAGCTTTTAATGCACTGTGCACAAGTCATTTTGTGGCCATGTGTTTCTCAGAGCCCAGTTCTAGAGAAGAAAAAGCTTCAGTTCTTTAAAAAGGCAATTGTCAGGTTTTATTTCCTCATGGTCAAAGAATGAGATTGTCTTTCTATAGCAGCCACAATCACAGAGGGAGAAATCCACTGCAGAAGAGGAAGCACAGAGAGAAACATCTAAACCCACAGAGGATTGCAAGAGAGACATTCTGGGATTCAAAAAAACTAAACAAAACAAAACAAAAAAGACACTCGAAAAGAATATAAGCTGTCAACATTTACAATCACCAGCCAAGTTTCCATCCAGATGTATCACAATTTGTTTTGGTTTCCATCGACTAGTATTATGTGTCGATTTGAAGTGCATCAAGGAAACAGTTGGTGGAGCTAATTCTCCAGTCAGCCAAATGTAAAACAATTCTAGCATTTCAACAGATAATCTAATTAAAAATGTGTATAAAACATACATAAATAGGTACATGGACCATGACAAATAAACAATTTAATTCAATAAAATTTTTCAATTCAATTTTATTTATATAGCGCCAAATCACAACAACAGTTATCTCACAGCACTTTTCATAAAAGAGCAAGTCTAGACCGTACTCTATGAGGTTATTTAATGAAGCCCAACAATTCCCACCAAGAGCAAGCACTAGGCGACAGAGGCAAGGAAAAACTTCCTTTTTAAATTTTATTTAAAGCAGGCAAGCTGTTTATAGCATCTGGAAAACCACATTCAATTCAGGCGCCTTTACAGTCCAGTTCCCTCTCTCTGTCACACCATTAGCCCAACTAAAGTTTTATACATTAAGATAATGCACAAAATACTGGACAGTGTCAAACTTGCTTGGATGTTTGTTATGTGTGAGTGTTTGCATGTTGTGGAGATTTTTTGGCAGCTTTATTTGAAAATATGTATTCTTAGAAATATAATACCGTGCACCCTAATTTGTTTACTTGGATTACTGCCAGATCTCCAGATTATTACTCTGACTTGTCTGTCAGTGAGGTGGATCATACTAATAAACTGGAAGTATGTAAAACCAACAGTTTTAACTGTTTTAAAGACTAACTCCACCGATTTTACACATCAAAGTTTTAACAGGTGTACTACTGCGTATGTGAAAACAGCCTTCTGTAGCGCCATCATTTTCATTGTTACAGGTAGCTTTTTAAATAAACTTGTTTATTTTAATATTTTGTGAAAACTAATTGTTGTATATCAATAATCTTACTTTTAAACTTTACTTAACACATATTTTTAAAATATTAGCTCTTAGTCAAACGTGCACTGTTTATTATATAATCTTGTAATAATAGGAACTTTTAACTTCAGATTCAATGCTTTATTGACACATGCAAACAATTAACGTGGCTCTGGCCTCTTTATCACGACCAACACTGACATCACAATCATCATCATCATCATCATCGGTGACCCAGAAAGCCCTCAAATGTAAAACAAATAAGCAACTATAACTACACGTTGTGGCGATGAAGACCGCAAGAACTGCGATTGGTTGGCTTGGTTGGCATCACATTCCCTTAACAGTCTGCCGTAAATTAGTGAGAGAATAACATAAACCAAAAGGTCTGCATCCCCCTTGCTTAGAGACACCATTGCTCTGTTTGGAACTGTCCCTCTGATCCTGGATGCATCCCACTTTAGCATCAGAGCTGCATTTCATTAGTGTGGAATTGTGGTGAAAATTATGCCTGATCAGTGTTTGCAGTTACTTTCGGTTTTCCACCACCAATGAAACGCAGCTCGCTTGTCTCATCCACTGGTCCCAAGCGGTTCGGTGTCTGTAGTAGGTACATCATCTTAAATATTTTTATTAATATTATTCTCGGTAAATTGTGCCTTTATTCTCATTTATATTGCCTTTTCCCCTCAAAAATATTCCTTTATTCTTGACTTGTCAGAGAACACAGATATGTGGGAGAGATGCTGAATGTGCAGAACATTTTGAACATTAGCAGAAAACTTGCTGAGACACCGGACCAATTAAAGTTTCGAGGTTTATAACTGAATTAAAATGAATAAATATATTTTTAACTTGAAAGGGCACCACATGCACATTTCAAGAGGTTCCTAAAATTAATGATGCCTACATGTGTGTTGACTCAGCAGGAAAGACAGTAAATGTGAAAAGAGCAAAAAATGTCTAAGAGCCTTACTGCAATATATTGTATTATATTTTTAGATTTCAAATTGTCACCTGCTGCCTGAATTTTATGTTTCCCTTTAAACAGTATAAATAAAAACATTTCCACCGTAAATTGATGCATAAAAGGCAGAAATTGAAATTGAGCCATCAACCGATACATTTTTCATTTAAGTGGTTACTAACAAATGTCTCAGTAACAAGGGTCAGGTTAAAGATGTAGTTGTTTTAATTTCACATTAGGATGCTCACACCATCAGGCCAACTGAGATGTGGTGTAGACTGATGACCACTAGATGGCAGAGCAGTCTGACCAGAGCAGATGCAGAGATGAGAGATGTGGAGTCGGTAGGAGGAGGAACTGTGGAGGAGAGCGCATACAGTGCAGTATGTTAACCATGGTATCCAATTAAATTAGCTGTAAACTTGTCAGTCAATCTCTTCTTCAACTGGAAAATTACAGAAAGTTTTGTTTTTTGTTGTTGATTGTTTTAGTTGAATTATAATAATAGAATGAGTTAACAACTTAACACATGTGCAATAATCAGGTCACCAAGGTAATACTCCAATACTACAAAGTGTGTCAGAATTACTATAAGAGAAAGAGATACATGCTGATCTCTTTAAATGTATTTTTTTTAATGCTGTATGCAACAAAGACTACAATTTACCTCCGTTGTATCAGGACTGGGTCAAAGATCTCAGTCACAAATAACTCAAAACCTGGGCAACATATCCGAAAACTATCTGCATGGGTTGGTACCAAATATATGTAGCTGTAAAGAACCATGAAAACACTAATTTATTTGGAAACAAAAAGAAATTATTAGTGTCCTGACCTCTGACATTCAGCCTGCTCGATGGTGATTCAGTCTGACCAGTAGAACACCAGTAGAAACCTTCGTCAGACTGTTGGACATTTCTGATGGGAAACTCTCCTTCAGGTGCAGCTCCAATCGGGGTACTATGTCTGCCAAACTTGAAGAAGTTAACCGGAATGGTGGAACCGTTCCTGCTCCTGCAGCGCAGAGTAACGTCACTTCCTGCCATCACAGGGAGTGCAGGGATCTCCATGATAAAAGGACGATCTGAACAACACAGAGAACAAGAACAGACACAGGTCTAAGTCAAATTAAATGTAAAGCAGAATTATTAATTTTTTTCACCACTTCGGGGGAGCAGAATAAAACACACTGATATATTATCACCTTATAAAGTTGTTACAGTAGAAATCGTGCTGGATATTCTTGGAGGAGAGATTCCTTTTACATGTATGACACTTTATATGGGTGACCTACCAGAAGAAATAGCAGGAAATGACAGGTATCTTCTGAAAATAACGACTGTAGCGGCTACAAAAGCAATAACTCGGAAATGGTTGCAAATTGATCCACCTACAATAGAGAACTGGCTCGAAATCATCAAAGAGATTCATGAGATGGAAAGGCTGAGATTGAGGAATGACATTTACATCGCAAGGTGGACCAAATGGATAGGATATCTGTGTATATGAGAGGTGTGGTTGATGATAATTTTCCCTGTTGCCCTGTACTGTTGAAAGATGGTTTAACTTTCCTTTTGCTGTTTTACTCTACCAAGCATGGAGATATCAATACAAATTATGTAGCGCTGTACAAAGCCCCCCTCAAACGTAATAAATTTGAAAATGAGGTCTGATATATGACTAATGCACATGTACAGTGCTGCCCGACAACAAAGTTTTTTTGATGCACTGTTTTGTTCTTTGTTTCTGTTGAAGACTCAATAAAATCTGTGATAAAAAAACGTGCTGCCCATGTACACATCCTGCAGACACAGAGCAATGTATGCATTCACTTGGAGTCATGATTCTGTCCTCTGTCCATCCCAGATTAGATCTCTGACATACAGAAAGTCTTCTACCTGATACAGTGATGGTGACTTTGATGCTCCTCTGTCCACTGCGGTGTTCACACCAGTAAACACCTCGGTCTGATAATGGAGACAGATCTGAGACAATGCAGGAGGAACCATTGCGTCTCCCAAAACCCCGAGCAGCTCCACACTTCTCTGTCTTTACTACTGATATCCTCTTCAGCGTCCATCCATCAGAGCTCTCCTCTCCCTCACAAGTCAGACTGACTGACTCTCTCGTAAAGAACTGCTGACGGTTTGGACTGACATTCAGAGAGACTGGAGAAAAGACAGGCAGAGCAGAGAAGATGGATGGCTGAGCATATTTATTTGCTAATACTTGCACCAGTGTTTGCATAATTCTGGATAACATCTGGATAACACTTCCCGTTGCTTACTTGCAGAAACAGTCAATCCAGACGCAAGCAGCACGGCAAAGTCTGCAAAAGCAGAACCAGAGTCATCAGAGTTACCACAGTAGTGATAAATACCAGAAATGTTGTAAATCTTAGCTTCAGCAACCACATCAATGCAATGACTAAATATGCATTTTAACATCTAACCAAATTCAATTGGATGTCTCATATACAAGACTTCAGTTCTTCATCTCCATTTCTTTTATTTAAATAAGCTCATTGTTTCACTCACCAAGGAGTAGAGAGCCAGATGGAGCCTTCATTCTGTCAGGTTGAAGAGTGACAGTAACTTTCTCATATCACAACAATGAGCATCATATTCCATGTTGTGTCATACACAGTGTCAAACCACAGGTTCCACATTCTTAAAATGAATATTTAATTTTTTGCCATTTCCTTATTTCAATCAACTACTTCCATCTACTTCTACTTAAGTAAGAATTTCATTGCAAGACTCCAGCGGAAGAATTTTACCCTAAGATACTTTCACTATTTCCTCCACCACTGCAGAAGTAACACTGACTTGGTCAGATGGTTATGGATTTGGTGGAGATTTAGAGCTGCGTGTCATTGGCCTAACAGTGGAAATGCAGTCCATGGTAGCATATGATGGGACCATGGAGGAGCATATAGAGGATAAATTTGAGGGGACAAAGCACTGCAGCTTGGGGAAATCCCTGCAAAATTGGGACAGTATTTGATTTGGATTTGGGCAGTGCCAGTGATACTGAGTGAGTACTCAAGGCAGGAGAGAAGGATAGAGTGGTAGATTGTGATGTGAAGTAAGATCAGGGCTATTTCTGTGCTGTGTTGGGTTCTAAAACTGGATTGAAATGGTTTATAGAGGTAGTTGGAGTACAGATGGGTTTTGAGTTGGGCGGTGACAGTGAATTTCAATATTTTTGATAGAAACGGGAGATTGCTGATGGATCTGTCGTTGTTGGGAATGTCAGGGTCAAGGCCGGGCTTTTTGAGGATAGGTTTGACTGATGCTAGTTTAAAGGCAGAGTTGATGACAGAGAGGACGAGTGGGCAGAGGGAGGCAGGCTTTGACTAATGTGGCGGGTAGGGGATCAAATGTGCATGTGGCAGTCTTCATGCCAGACAGTGTTTAGCTGTGATCAGAGGAGGCGATGAGGGAGAAATGGGAGAATGACTGGCCTGTTAGGAGGGCAAGGCAATGACAGACTCAGGGATAGAGAGGGTGTGGATTGAGGTGGCTGGTTGTAGATGGTCTCAATTTTGCCTTGGAAGAATATCAGGAAGGTGTTGCATTTAACAGCTGTGAAGTGAAACAAGTTATCCAAAGGTTCAAGGAGCTTCTAAATTGTGAAGAAAAGGACCTTGGGGTTAGCAGAATTAGAGTGAATGTGGCTGGAGTTGTAGGCAGCACGAGCAGTATGAAGAGCAGCTTTGAATAGCTGAATGTAATCTTTGTAAGCCTGGGTGTAAACTGTGACACCAGTTTTCTTGGGGCTCAGAGGAGGCGGCAAGTCCGGACAGTTTTTCATTGAGGCAGGCTGACATAGATAAGGGACAGACGTCTTGTTATGACAGAAAGTGATGGTGTGCATGTGTTTGAGTTCTGGGATCGGTGGTCAGAGATTGTGAGGTTAGAGCTGGAGAGATGGTTGATACCCTCCAGTGAAGTCCAGTTGAGGAACTCTGTGGCTATTTTACAGTCTGTAGAGCCATTGTGGATGCTGGAATCAACCAGAAGCAGGATGGAATATAAGATGGAGCAGAGATGGGTTACAAATTCAGATAAATCTGAAAGAAAGGTCGGGTTGGGTTTGGAAGGGTGCTGGATGATTTCAATGACCAGGTGTTTAGGACCAGACAGTTTAAAATACATGTGTTCAAATTAGGATGGACCTTGGATAAGAATCAAGCTGGTTCTGATATGTTGGTGGAAAAGAAGAGCAATTCTACCGGCACAGCCATCAGGTCGGGGTTTGTCCAGGAAGTGATATCCATTGGATGTAGTTTGGTTGAGTGTAAAGTAGTCTAGTCTTTTTCCAGGTTTGATTTAGACTCAACATATCAAATTAATTGTCAGTGATGAATTCATTAAGGATGAGACTTTAATTTAATGACTGGGTGTTGAACATGGTGAGTGTTTTCTAGAGGATATGGGTAGAATTCAGTGGTCGGCTATTCTCACATGTTTTTTTTTGTAGTAGCAGCAGTTTCGCCACTGACACACACCACATTAGATCCAGAGGCAACGTGGCAGAGAAAACTGGGATGAGGTGGATGGAGCCCCCCCACACTCAAAGTGCAGACAGAGCCAGTGGCATTTATAGTAGGAATGTTTTTAATAGCTAATAGTGCTGAAATAGCAACTTCTGTTATCGAGAATCAGATCTGCATTCTCTTTAGCGAATCAAATTTTAACTCAAAACTTCCTTCCTTGCCTCTACTAAGGAAAAGCCCCCACACGGCTTCTGAGAAGTGTTGTAAGTGTTTACTGGGATATTTAAAATGATTGATATTGTGTGTACATACTATCCACTTCCCACATTTGCAAGAAATTACAAAACGTGTAAACCCACTTCAAAATGCAATGTCCCTATACATTTTAAAATAACACTAGAAAAAGTAAAGAAAAATGAGGATACAACATCTTATTTTCAGGTTTACAGGGAGCAATTAACCCATTTAATCCCATCGGTCACAATAGTAACCATAAAAACTTTCATTTTTAAAGCTCTAAAACTGTTACTAAATGATGTACATATGCATTTTAGGCAAATACTGAAATAATAAAGGGTCTCAATGAAATATGTGCAGTATCACATGTTTAGTGTAAATTGTCACATGACCAGAGCTGTTTACTTCCTGGGTGCACTATGAGAAAAGAATGTTCTCCTCCTTGCACCAGTGGGATCTCTGATGTCTCTGTATTGATACTCTCTGGAGGTATTTGGCTATGGGATCCCAAGATATTTGTAGCTGTCCTGAACATCTGCAATGTTGCCCTCAGGTAGTTTAACCCCCTTGGTTCTGATCTTTTCCCCTCTTTTTGATACCACCTGACCGCACTAGTCCAGTCCTAATGACATTCCACTGTTGTTGCTGTAGATCCTGGCAGTGTAGATCAGTGAGTCGATGTCTCGCTCATTCCTGGCATACAGGCTGATGTCATCAATGTAGAGGAGGTGACTGATGGTTGCTCCGCTTCAGAACCGGTATCCGTAACTACTCGTTGTGATGACCTGGCTGAGGGGGTTCAGGGTATTGCAGAACAACAGCAGGGCTAGTGCAACACACCTTGGTATGCCACACTTGATAATGACTTGTGTAATTGACTTTGAATTGGCTTCTGGAGTCCACTTGAGTTATTGATGCAGGCTATTAGTGTCATGTTGATCTTGTACATTTCCAAGCATTCCAGTAACCATGTATGTGGCATTGAGTCGTGACTTTCTTGTAGTCAATCCAGGCAGTGCACAGGTCGGTCTGCTTTGTCTTGCAGTTTTATTTTATTTTGCTTAGTGTGGGCCTCTATTGAATGCAAATTCTACTATCCTAAATGTTACCTTCATGTTCAATGTGAAGGAATCACATGACTGATATAAAGTTTTTGTTTGAAAGTTGCACAAACAACAGTTTACAATGAATGTTGTGAAAAGTTCAAATGTTACAATAAAGTTACAATATTAATGTTTTAATCCAAGTTGCACCAAAGTTACAACTTTGAAATATGCTGTGTTTTTGTCTTTGCTCTGCAAATTGTCAATGTTGTATAAGGAAGTTTGATATGTAAATTAGTCATGCTAGAATAATATAGAGCATTTTAGTGACAATGTTGGGAACTACCTCTGACAGTTTCAATTGTCTTAACCCCTTGATGCATGAATTTATTAACAAGAAAAAATATATTATATAATATATTTCTGTTTTCATTTGCTTTCAGGTTGATGTTAAATTAAGTGGACATTGTTAATTTGTCTATAGAACATAGAAAATATGTATATTCAGGTATGGTGTAGGTATGATGCAAATTAGCAACAACAGGCATAAACGAGAAACCAGTGCTTGCAAAAGGTTCCCATGTATGCATCGAATAATAATAATAATAATAATAATAATAATCCTTATTGTAGAGCACTTTTCAAAAACAAGTTACAAAGTGCTTTAACAAGTGTAAAGAATAATACAAAAAAAAGATAAGAATATGCACAAAAAGGCATTAGGGAAATACAAACGATATCTCAGCTGCAGTCTGAAAGGAAGAAGTGTGATGCAAATTTGCAACAATTGGCATTAAGGGGTTAATAACTAGTCTAAAATACATAGAAATTTTGGTGACTGCACAGGAGAAATTAGTCGATTAAGGATACAACACATGATCCCACCGGTCACAATTGTGACCGACCATAAAAAAACTTAAAATAAATAAACTTTTTCACTTACTTTTCCATATAAATTTGAAAGAATTTGAAAGGGTTACTGATGACACATGATTTGTATATTTTTTAATCTGGGAAAAATTAGGGATTAAATGCCATTTATTTCACATTTTGTAAAAGAAAATAGCTCATTTGAACACATCAAAATCTGCACCCTGGGACGTTTCAGGGTTTTGATGATGTTTTTCATGATGACAAAGCTTATCGCTAGAGATCTGTGGTAATGTGTCTTTACCAATATAAACTCGTCAGTGTGAGATATACAATATGTTAAAATGGTGCAAAAATGCTAGGAAACAAAACATTTGCCTAAAATTAGTACAAATGCATAAACAGCCGTAGCAGTGCATGAAAGAAACCCACATACATTCTGCTATGGCATTAAATCTATACTTTTATGCCAGTCTAAAAGCATTTATAGTGAAATAAAAGCGCTGAAATAGCAACTTCTTTTCTGCAGAATCAGGGCTAGATTATCGTCAGCAAATCAATTATTACCACACTTCCTTCCTGGCCTTTACTAAGGAAAAACTAAGGATTCTCAGTAAAACAAGATGTCACTGTGTTTGCAGAACAAGAAGTTAGGAAATCAGTAGAGTCAATAGTGTTAACAGGGATTTTAAAAATCATTATTACTTTGTATATCATCCCCTTCCCACCTTTACAAGAAACCACAAATACATATGAACCCCACAGCTGGCAGGCAGTGGAGCCCTCCAACATATTCCTCTGCAGTGTTTCCCCTATGATGGAGTTGTAGCAGCGGAGGTGAAGCAAATGCGATGCACATTAGAATAGCTTCAAATTTCAGTGTTCTCCCAGTTTTATGGGAGCGCTAGATGAATGTGTTGCTGGTGGTCATGGTAGTCATGGTCAGAGCGGTCGGGGGTTTGGGGGTCCTCCCCCAAGAAAATGTTGTTATTCAATGAAAAATATGTAAATTCACATCATCTTGGGCCGCTATTTTCACCATATCTCTGGACAAATAGATGGAAAAGCTAGAGCAGATAATAAACAACCAAAGATCAGTCTATGGGAGGAACTACAACCATTAGATTTGCTTGAAAGTAATTTGGTTGGTTATGATGCTCTCCACAGTGATTTTACATTTATGGCAAAGCATGTTTTGGGCATCACCCCCTATCCCTTAATGACAGGAAAACCCTGTTAATGACCTCAGAATCATTATAGATAAGATTGTTCATGTTTGCCTTTTGTGTCTTTATTTTACAGCTTTTGACATTTATCTGTATAGACATTAATATAAAAAATAGGCAACATAAGAAACCACCCCCCTTCTGAGGTGCATTTTATTTCCACAATAAAATCCAAAAAGAAATATATCCTCATTAGCTTATAAGGACTAATTCGCATCACTAATTTGCTTTACTAACCTCTGCTCCTCCAGTCACCTCCGTCCTTTCTTTTCCTAACAACCACTTTTTCAGATTCATCTGAAAACTGAAAAATAATTTTGGATGAACCAGTCTGTACAGGACAGTTTAGTCTAAGTTTGTACCTGATGTTCTCAACACTGGAAAAGTTGGTAGTTATAAAATTCAACTACCAGTTACTTTGTATAAATTGAGCTAACTTTAAGTTATAGCAGCCAAAAGACGCAGCCTTCTGTAGAAGCTTTCCTGCTCAGTTGCGCAGTCTGAAGGGGAGATGTTAGCTAGCCTTTTCCAGCAGTTGGGGAAACAACAGACAGACTTTTCTTGGTCTTGAGAAGCTAAGTAACCAACACATACATTTACATTTACATTTAGTGCCAGAACATTTTCCTCCGCTCGCGTTAACCGTCACTTTCTGCCTCTCAGACAATCAAAAACTCGCTACGCACCTCGCGATTTGGAGTTAAGTTGCTGTTATAACAGCACCTCTCATGTAGATGTTCCGAAGAATGAGGAGAGGAAGCGAGCCAAGCGATGAGTGTTACCATGCTCACACAGTGTGAGTGAATATTAGTAGCGCATTGATTTAATAATCAGTGTGGGAAATTGTAGTAGTGGCGGTCACAATTCAGCAGCAGTGCACCACCACTCTTGAATGCATATAGGGGGAAAAGTCCTCCGACCCCTGAGCCCGTAATGTCTAATGTGTGATAAAGATGCAGGGGCAGCCAGTGGGGCGGGGAGGAAGGAGCCCCACCCACCAAATGCGCCTCAGCAAGCCATCCCCCAGAAGGGGGAGTTGAAAGAGATCATAGGTAGCTAGGCAGGAATGGTCCTCCACAATACTGGTGCCAGCATCCTGACTGGCCCTGAAGCAGAGGATGCTTCAGGGCGGGATTATTTATGATTGACAAGTCGTTACAATGGCAACCTGTCAATCAGGCTAGAGGGACGGACACTCTCTAGCCTGATTGACCAGCACCGTTGAGTACATTTGGCTTTGAGAATGTTGTTTGCTAGACAAAATTGTCAGCCCTGTTAAAATGACAGTTAACGTCAATTACAGATGCACCCAGCTAAGCAAGCTAGCTAGCTCCACACATGGCCGTCAGCTCAACTGTATTCTCCAAATATGGTCACGTCCGGTGCCGCTATTTGCACAAACTCAACATGACGGCATTTAAAAACATTTAACACAACATAACATTTATTGGCTCAAGAAAACTATTTACATCCTCTATCACCACTAACACTTTTGTGTTGATCATCATTGGTGCCTTATATGTTAAAACAAATAATAAAAAGTAACCCCACCACTATATTTAGATGTTTTTTTAAGCTGCACAAACAATTATAATTGGTTTATAACACATTATATTGTATATGTTAAAGTGAAGAGGTATCAATCAGGTTTCACACAAATTCAGTTACACATTACAAACAACATTCATTATATTCAAACACCATTGTAATAATGTGTCATCACAGCTTTAATGTAAAACACAGACGTGCAGATAGACCATCTCTCTTCAGCTCAGAAGTCATGCTCAGTGGTGACATCAGCTGTGTCATCAACACAGATATTAGGCAATCCCTGCCCGCTTTCAATACACTGTGTCATCTCCATGGTGACAGTTGGTGTCTTTCCTGTGGGTTAAGTTAGGAAGTTGAGATTCAGTTTTTGAGTATCAAAACATGTGTGTTGTTGTATCTTATTTTTATCTTAGTGAAGAAAGTGAGTAATCTAGACGTTGAGGACTTATTTGGAAAGTGAGGTTTTGGAAAGTGAGAGTTAAACAGAATTGAGAATTAAGTTTAGGTTAAGATTAGTGTGAAGTCTTCTTCCTCGTATTCTTAAATTTGCAGCATAGTCGGCGCAGCAAAGGTATTTTGCTGTCTTCCACATGTTATACAGAACCTAAATTAAAGGACAGGTTCACAATTGTTCAGGTCAGTTCTAAAACAATTATCAAGAAGAACACTGAAACTGTGTTTTTCTTCCTGTAAATCTTTCCTCTTTTTTAAACTTGCAATTAAAAGATCCCTTCATAATGCACTTTCAGTGGAAGGGACAGGGGACAAAATCCCCATTTTTGTGTATTCTTATAACAGGTTAAAAAACTGTTAACCTATCCTTTAAAGTTAAAGTAAGCATTCATCTTCCTCCTAAAGATGCCTCTCATCCCTCTATGTGGGAAGTTTAATCTGAACGTACAGTATAATCATGGTTTCTGGCCTATTTTTCATCCTTCCCTAAAATGTCTACAGGATTGTCACAAGTTCAGTGTTAAAGACTGATCTAACTTTCATTATTCTTATCCAGTGTTGAATCTGCCATGGAGGAATGCATAGGCCACCAGGTTGTTGAAGCCGTCAGTGTAAATGTGCACATAAACTGTCAATTTTTAATTAAATGATTATATAAAAGCAACCAATGTCACAGGACCAAGGATCAGGTAACAGATGTAGCTGATGCTCACATGAGGAACTACAGTGTGTGTGTAGTTGCTACCTTTCTTCCTGCAGCAGCAGGTGGACATCATCAGGCAAGTGCAGATGCAGTAGAGAATGATGACCACTAGATGGCAGAGCACTCTGATCAGAGTAGAGATGAGAGATGGGGAGTTGGTGGGAGGAGGAGGAGGTGCTGTGGAGGAGCAACATGTCATTCCTAAAAAAAGGTTGATTGTCAGGTGTCCCAGAACGACGCATATGAGCATTTTCCCGTTTGTCTTTGATTGTCCTGATATATAATAATATATTATTATTAAAATTATTAACATAGTTTGGTTAGGTTTAGTAACAACCACTTTAAAAAGACTGTGTGTAAAATAAGCACAATGTGTAAGTAACATGACGTAAATAATTTACAAAACGTTATTAAACTTAAAACATGACGTCTTTTATTTTCTTCACATGTGAAAGTCCTGAGTTTTCTTCATCCATCTATCCACCACCCTCCCACCACGGTCTTCGTGGTCTTTATACTATGTCATCTGACTTCTTCTGCCACTAGAGGTCGTGGCCTAATTCATATCAGGGGTTTTCCAAGTCAGAGACTGTGGGCATCCCCTCAGACAAAGCTTAGGAAACTTTAACTGACTTTGAAAGGCTAAGTTTAAGTAACTGTAGTTGTGTCTGGCAGTGCTGATGTTTTATTTTTGTTACTGTTACTAAGAGACAGAATCTGTAAATGTAGGTGGAACAAAACTCATGGAAACTCTGTTGCGATCAGATTACAAAGGTGGCTATTTTAATTTATTTGGAAATTATTAGTGTCCTGACCTCTGACATTCAGCTTGCTCGATGGTGATTCAGTCTGACCAGTGGAACACCAGTAGAAACCTTCGTCAGACTGTTGGACATTTCTGATGGTAAACTCTCCTTCAGGTGCAGCTCCAATCGGGGTACTATGTCTGCCATACTTGAAGAAGTTTACCGGAATGGTGGAACCGTTTCTGCTCCTGCAGCGCAGCGTAACGTCACTTCCTGCTATCACAGGAAGTGCAGGGATCTCCATGATAAAAGGACGATCTGAACAACACAGAGAACAAGAACATAAACTAAACCAAATAATGTAAAGCAGCATGAGCATTTTTGCGCCACTTTTGCGTAGCAGAAGATGCCAACTTTTAAACTTCGACCATTTACACATCCAGCAGATACAGAGAAACATTAGCATTCACTTAGAATCATGTAAATTCATTAGACACTCTTGTTTTAGCGGTTTGGTCTCTGCTGAAAGGGACTCCTGAGGGAAATATCTGTATCTTTAGCTGCTAAATGCTATACCTGCTAGTCACTGAATTTAACATTAAATGCTGGACAGTTGTCGTACCCCGTCAGGAGTTTTCTTGCTGTCTGCTGCTTGAATTAATTTGATGAAACCAAACCAAAACAGTAAATGTGCCATACAACCAAAACTATGAGCTGAAATATGCTACAGCGCTACATAGAGCTGAGTGGAACTTCAGCATTGGGTTGACACTTCTCTGTAGGTTTGTCACTACAAGCAACCCAATACACATTACATAATCTTTTGATCACTTGTTAATATAAAAATATTTGGCTTTGGCAGCAGCTTGCAGAGTTCACAGAAGGCAAGGCAAGGGAAGTTTATTTGTATAGCACATTTCGGCAACAAAGTAATTAAAAGTGCTTTACATAAAACACAAAAGCAACATATAGAAATATAAAAAAGATACTTTAATGGAAACTTTAAAAGAGTTAAATAGGGAATAAAAACAGGATAAAACAAGACAGTAAAACTTACAGTACAGTTATTATCTACAGCCTTAAATTTGATTTAATTAAAGGCAGTGGTAGAAAGAAAAGTCTTCAGTCTGTATTTAAAAGAACTCAGAGTTTCACCGACCTGCAGTTTTCTGGGAGTTTGTTTCAGATATATGGACCCCAAAAAACTGAGCGCTTCTTCTCCATGTTTAGTTTTGAAAGTGCAGGTAGCTTTTATAAGGAAGGATATTGTCTCACTGGAGCTGTGTATTTGGGATGTAAATTATTCAGCCAGCCCATTGACTTAAACACAGACGCTGCAGGATTGGTTGCTAGAAGCAGTTAACTTTTGCTTGATGATGAAAGAAAGTTGTATTTCTGTATACCGGCATACAAGAAACTGTTCAGCTGTGTCAATACGATCAGTGCTTGTCTCTTTTTTTGCGGCCTTTCTTTTATGTTTTTTTTTCTGCTTTTAGCATTTGAAGAGCATGTCCCCATTTCTAAACCCTACCAAGAAAGAACTAATTGGCCCAGTTGATTTACAACAGGGGATTAAGAAGTCTGGAACCAGAATAGATCTTCTACCTGATACAGTGATGGTGACTTTGATGCTCCTCTGTCCACTGCGGTGTTCACACCAGTAAACACCTCGGTCTGATAATGGAGACAGATCTGAGACAATGCAGGAGGAACCATTGCGTCTCCCAAAACCCTGAGCAGCTCCACACTTCTCTGTCTTTACTACTGATATCCTCTTCAGCGTCCATCCATCAGAGCTCTCCTCTTCTCCACAAGTCAGACTGACTGACTCTCTCGTAAAGAACTGCTGACGGTTTGGACTGACATTCAGAGAGACTGGAGAAAAGACAGGCAGAGCAGAGAAGATGGATGGCTGAGCATATTTATTTGCTAATATTTGCACCAGTGTTTGTATATCCTTGAAAATATTTCACTTCCCGTTGCTTACTTGCAGAAATAGTCAATCCAGACACAAGCAGCACGGCAAGGTCTGCAAAAGCAGAGCAAGAGTTACACATTAAAGGTCATCAGAGTTGCCACATAGTAAGAAATACTAGAAATGTGGTGTGGTTTTCTGCTTCAGCAGGGCTGCCCGCCAAAATCGGGCCGACACCCCTCACCAATACACCATGCTTCCATAAATAACCTACTGTAATATTCCCCCAAACCAGCTGAGTGGTATATGCCCTAGATAACGTGCCAGTGCAGGTGAATCAGTGTACTTATACGCACTCATTTACTGACTCCATAGTAATCGGAGGTGACCATGGAGTACCCAACTCATACTCAAGTAGCCTACAAGTCATTTTCACAGCAATGTGGAATTAGCCAATGCGATGCTGATACAATAACCTCACCTCTGCCAAAGTCAAGACTGCATTAGGAAACTATGCTAGCTACATAAACAATGTCTAATAGCTTATGCAGTGCTGTATGAGTATAAGTGAGTGATCACCAGCAGTAGGTGACAGTCTTACTTTATGATAGCTTTGTTATTAGGTAATAATCATTGACCTTGAAGTAATCATTGTGATTGTCACTCATAGACTGTGTATGTTTGACATGTGGTGAGGACATTGAAGGGCTCAGATTTGGGGTGTGACAAAACACTTAGCTCATCAAAAGATTGGGGTCATGAAACCAAGACAAGAATATATTTTGGTACTATTTTGAAAAAAATGAATGAAATATAGGATCGGGGGTCCGGGGGTTTTATCCCCCAGAAAAGTTTGAGGATTAAACTCTTAATTTCCTGCATTCTGGAGACATTTTCTGCACCAATTTATGGTGGAAATGTCTTTATTTATATTGCGGGAAACACAAAATTCAGGTGGCAGGTGACAATTCAGAATATAAATATAATAGAATATAAAGCAGTAATCACACAGTAATTACTTTCTTTGGACAATGTTTCTTCTATGTTTACATTGCAATGCATGTTTTCTTGTGTAAATAAACCTTTTCTCAAAGCATTAACATTTCATTGAAATTTATTTTCTCCTTTCCTCCTTCAAGTGCAGCTGATGTTAAAAGTACTGCAGCCCCGGCGCATTTGGTGGCAGCCGTGAAGACTATTTATTTTGGTCTGCAATGCAGGAAATAGAGAGCCGAGGGGGAGGCGTGGGGGCCAGTAAGAGATGTGATTGGGCCAGCCCAGTGTCAATATAGAAAATAACCCATTGGGCCACTGTCCATGCTTTATGGGCCGGTCGTTGGCCCATTTTTTAAACAGTTAAATAAGTAAATAAATAAAAGGTTCGTCGACCAACCGGGCATTTGCCCTGTGTATCAGATTACCAATCCACCCCTGAGCTTCAACAACCACATCAAGGCAATGACTATATCTGCATTTTATCATCTAAAACAAATAGACCGACTGTCTCATATACAAGACTAAGATAAACTTATTCTGGCCTTCTTCTCCAGCAGAGTATTACAATGGCTGGTTTTCTTTGGAAGACCAATCAAACAGATCAAACAACTTCAAAGTCATAATGCTGCTGCCAGATGAACAAGAACCCACGAGAACAGGACACATTTTAAATGTATGAACATAATAGAAGAAGTCGGAAAAGAGGAATTACTTAATTAATTACATTGGGGAAAAAATAAGCTCAGTTTTTTACTTACCAAGGTGTAAAGAGACAGACGGAGCCTTCATTCTGTCAGGATGAAGAGTGACTTTCACAGGAACTTTTCCACACCACACTAATGAGCACAATATGCCATATTTTCTCATGCACAGTGTCAACCCACATGTTCTGCATTCTTTAAATGGGTTTAAAAAAAACTTGTGTAAATGTATGCTATTTCCTTCTATGCATCACAAAGGATCTACCCATCTACTCCCCTGCTGAGTTTGGTGTTTCTTGCGTCATCGTATTTGATGGCTTTGCCCAAAAACATGGCATGCTGCACATGAGAGGCTGCAGATTGTGGACAGTGACTTAATATATTTACTTTAATACTGTACTTGAATATAATTTTGAGTTGCTTGTACTTAAGAAAAGTATGACATAGCAGTATAAAGTTATATAAAGATATTTCCATGTTATGCTACTTTATACTCCATTACAAGTCAGAGGCAAATATTGTGAATTTTACTCCAATGCATTTTTCTGATAACTAGTTGATGATCAAAGTTATACAGAGCAAATATAGGCCTACTTTAAAACATGATTCAAACTACCCAATAGCATAACAAATAGTTCAAATTACCTCCATTTTAACCAGCTAGAACATAAAATGGTGTTAAATGCATTTGTAATAATAATCCAATAATATAATGTCACATTGACAGAGGACCTTCAACCGCCCTACTTTTACTTTAGATGCATTTTGCTGCTAACAATTCTGCTTCAGAAAGAATTTGAATGCAAGACTTCAGTGGAGTAAGTTTACTCTTTATCGAGCACTTCCTCCAGATGTAACACCGATCTGGTCAGATGTTATCAGCGCTTGCGGTTTTCTTACAATCTAAAAGCAGAAGTGTACAACAAAAACCTTCAGTGTGAAAACAGCACAGAACGGACGGCTTAACTGGCATTCAGGCTGCAGTTGCATGAAATGTTTGCTTTGATGCCAATCTAAGTGCATTTAAAGTAGGAGAATGGTTAAGTAAAAGTGTTGGAATAGCCAGGGCTGGATCACCTTCAGCATATCTAATGTTTGCCTCAACACTTCCTTCCTGGCCTCTACTAAAGAAAAGCCCCCCATTGCTCATTCAGCAGAACACATGCACCATGAACCAGGGCTACAAGTCCTTAACGCAGGGTCCTGGGTTCAATGTTATCGGCATTTATAGCAGTGAGAAAATGGGTGGTCTTAAAAAATTAACTTAAAGTTTAAACACTGAACTTAACTCACTCTGCTGCATAAACAAAAACACAAACATCTGTTAAGAGTATAAACAACTGTACTGTTTTGCACGTCCTTCTTTTCTTTTCTCCCAGTTAATCCCCACAAGAAGTATGACATCCCAGTTTATGTCCACAACCACACTCAACACAGAATGATGTGACTTACTTTAAGCCTTGTCTCTGTTTATGACTGACTCTGTTCCCTCCAGAAGACATGTGAGTCTGGAGACAGACAGGACGGGAGCTGCAGCAGCATCAGGGCCTGCTGATGGTAAAACACAAGTGGTACATTAGTATATGAAACGTGTTAACCGTCCTCTCCAATATTAATACTTTGTCTGACATAAAAAAATCAAACATGAGACAGGATGTGGCTCACCTTCTGTCATGTTATGAGGGAAACCATCAGAATCAGAAGGAGCTTTATTTACAAGGAATTTGCTTTGGTGAAAAGGTGCTACATGTAGACAAACATACAGTTGACATAAATAAATGTAGGAACATGTAAATATGGAATAGACAATGCAAGTTATACAAGAACAATAAAAAGAATAAAGAAAAATAATACAACTATTTGCAGAGAAACAACAATTTTGCAGATATTTACACATGCATTATGTTGTGCAGACGTATTGCAACGAAAGAGGAAATGTACATAAATATATAAATTGACAATATAACAAAATAAAAAAATAAAACTACAGTGATTAACAATTAAAAACAAATATGTGCAATGTGCCAGGGTTGTGCATGAAATGAAATGAAATGATATTTACACATGCAGAGACATTTGCATTATTTGAAAGGGGAATCTAAAGCTGACAGGGAGTCTGACATGACGTCATGCTAAGATGGATGTAACTGCAGCAAACTGATCCTCCATCTGCCCTCTTTTCTCCCTCAACTTCTGTTCACTTAGACTGTTTTAAAGCATTTATTTACTGTGTAATGTAAAATTAAAATGGTTTAAATGTAAAAAGTGTATACTATAACACAGTCATGTACATTCTCAATGAAATATACACTGAACAAAATTATAAACACAACACTTTTGTTTTTGCCCACCATTGGCCTCATGCAGTGCAACACATATATATATATATATATATATATATATATATATATATATATACACACCAAACACTGTCTTTGAGTTTTGACCCATTTTGCAGAAGATGATCAAATCGATTCTGTCAAGAAAACTAAATTTCCAAAGGTTCCCAGATACAGAACTTATTTGGAGAACTTAGACAGACAGATTCACTCCCACACAAAACAGTTTTTAAAAAATCTTTATTTCAGCATGATTGTCTTTTTGACAGTCATGGCCCAAACAGAAGCAAAGTTGATTTTTATCAAATGAAGCAACATGTAACCAACAAATGAAATAGACATTAATAAAGAGGATAAATTATAATGCCAGAAACAAACTGTAAAACAAATATAGACTGTCTCACTGCTTGAAATGTATGTATATAATGTAATGATTTTGCTTGTAAATACCATTTTAGAGTTTAATTTTTTTCCCTCTAGTTCTTTCTAACATCATTTATGTACAATGTAAATAAACTGAAACCTGTGGCACCCCCATGTGGACACTTCAAATTTCAGAAGAAAGATACTAGCATTCAATAATTTTTAAATAATTCTACACTGAATTAGAGGATTATGTTAATAAAGAGCCTTAATAGCACCGATCACCACTTGTTGCAGTTTTATGTCTTTGATAAAATGCTGTGTGGTGGCAGAAAATCTATCTTATATTCATGGTGATAATTATGTATCTACCATTATGTACTCATAGTCACCTTCTCTGAAATGATACTGTCCACTAGGACATCCCATTGTGTGTGCGTGTGTGTGTGTAAATATCTGTGAAATTATTTCCATGGGAAGTGGAGTTTTCAAGGCCACTGTGTGAGGGAGTGTTCAATTCAATTCAATCTAGCTTTATTGGCACGAAAAAAAAAAAGAACATTTCATTTTATACAGCTCATTAATCACTAGAAAAATAATTATACATATATATATCTAAACAAAAAAAACAAAAAATATCTCTGCTCTGTTCAAAAGTGTAGTGAGTTGAAATCGGTTTTAATATGTCAAGGAGAATTAACAACAATCTAATATGTTTAAGAAAAAAAAAATACATAATTTTACATAATAAAACTGTAAACGTGTGTGTGAGTGAGTGTTTATTAATAGACAAAATTTTATTTTATTTTTTAAATCCCTGCTTTATATGTTATGTTTGTCCTCTGCTCTGGGCCAGATGTCTGACGCTGCCCTATAGGTGATAGATGTCCTTTTTGCACAAGACAACAGTTTGTTGTAATCCATTTATGTATGTAATTCTGCATTGGGTAATGTACTATTTCCACGACACCCTGTATAACACATGTATTCTAAAATATTGGTTTAATTGAGAAAATGTTTTTATCTGAGCACGAATAAGAGTCTCCTTACTCAGAGCTGACTGCTGTCATCTCTAAATACTGTAATAAAGTCTTGTCAGACAGAATTGCGGCACAACATTTGAAGTATCATTAGAAGTTGTTGTTTTTTGAAAAACAAAAAAACATTTCTGCTCTGTTCAAAAGTGTAGTCGTGTGAGTAGAAATCGGTTTAATTTGTCCAGGAGAATTAACAACAATCTAATATGTTTAAAACTAAAAAATAATTGAAATATTAGGAAATGATGAAAATGAAAGCCAGAAGAAAACTAAACTGCAGAAGGAGGAAAATGTTGCTGCTGATGTGAGGTGCATCATAGAAATAATATAATAAGGTGATTTTATTCCCACAGTAAAAAGTGCCGACAATAAAGTACATGGGAAGTGACTGCAAAAAAAATCTATTTATTCTTGTTGTTCCGTCCCGAATCACAAAATAAAACGTAAAAAAGAAAATAAAAAGTGGCAAAATATCCCATCAGTTGTTTAAAACAAATGCAAAACAACTTTTTCCTGGATTAAACTGTAAAAATCCAGTGATGAAGTGCAGTGAGATGCAGGAGACTGTTTAGGTTTTATTTTCTTTGCTAAACAAGAAACATTGCATGTAAGTAAGTCACACTCTTCTCTTTCATACTCAATGTGAAATGGGATTCAACATTCAGCAAACCTACAACACTAACATGGAGGTGTATATATGCAGTGATTCTAGTCAGTGATTAGAAAGGATGTCATCAGTTGGAATTTCCAGCTGGCAAGCCTTCCCACTGCTGTGGTCGGGCAGAAAGAGAGCACTCTGGATAGCTCTCTAGTTCCAAGCAGCAGGATCAGGAGCCTGGAGAGCAGCGTGGTGCACAATCCTGACATAAACATAATGCTTCGGCTAAAGTGTCATTCATCATATTTTTTTAGTCACTCCAAACACAGTAATACACTACACTACTTTGTTCTTAGACACTGAATGTTCACATAATAGCTCCACATCAAGCGAATCACTAGATTAATGGGGTTTAGTTACTGGTTGTTGTGGACAGCCTGATGGACGGAAATGGTGGGAGTAAATGATCGTCATTCATTTCATGTTTAAGAACGTTTTGCAGCTGTAGAAATAAGTTTCCACATGCACACAAAAGGTGATATAAAACTGCAGGCTGTGGTCCTCTTCAGCCATTCTCCAGGGCTTAATCCTCTTCCACTGGCACCACAAGTTCTGCTAGATAGATGTCAGATTCATTCAGAGATTGCTCAGCTCCTGGCACCTCTGCTCCCGTTATCTGAAGACATAAAAGTTAGATTTATTTCTCAGCAGCACTGCCCTTGAATGCAGTTTTAGTTTGAATCATCTGGGTCAAAGTGCCAAAGTGGTGTCATAGAAAGGTAAAAATTGACAACAGATTAATAAAAAGCACCGCTTTAGGTAAAAAGACCTGCTTCTCCTTCTCCAGCTCCTTCTTCAGCATCTCCACCTCTTTCTCAACATCCTCCCTCCACTGCTGCTCATCCTGAAGCCTCTTTTCCAACTGAGTGGAGATGAGATGACATTTTGTCAAGTAAATGTTATACAGAGACCTGGATGACTACAAATTATTGACTGGCTGTACCTTAAAAGTATTTATTTATAGACAAAACTATTGTGACAAGTTTAAATATTGTATTGCTGGCAAAGCAGAGAAATTATGATAAAAGGCAGAGTAAATGACTATAACTATAACCATAATATTATTCACAAGGATACAAAACTGAAGACTTTACCTCCTGCTCCTGAATGTCAGATTCATTCAGAGATTGTTCAGCTCCTGACACCCCTGCTCCCATTGTCTGAAGGCATAAAAGTTAGTTTTATTTATTATTTTGATTGTTATTGTAATTGTTGTGTTTTTAAATGTCACATTTGATACAGATTATTTTAGTCTTTTTTTTTTGCCTATTAATATACACACACACAATTTTATCTATTTATTTTATTTTAATTTTTTTAACACACACACACACACACACGCTTACTGTTTTATTTATTTATTTTAATTTAATATATTATTTTAATTTAACATACTTAACACACACAAACAACTTATGCTGTTTTATTTCCTTATCTAATGAAATGTATGAGATTAATTGTCCTTATGTTCTTTATATGTAGCTTTAGTGCTTGCTCTTGGTGGGAACTGTTGGGCTTCTGTAAATATCATCACAGAGTACGGTCTAGACCTGCTCTTTTATGAAAAGCGCTGTGAGATAATTGTTGTTGTGATTTGGCGCTATATAAATAAAATTGAAAAATTTAAATGAAATGAAACTTTGGCAATATTGTTGCTATAGATAAATAATATATAATAGCTAATAATAAATAAAGCTAATTTGAATTTGAATTCTCAGGAATATTGCACTTGAATGCAGTTTTAGTTTGAATCATCTGGGCCAAAGTGGTATCATGGAAAAGATAAAAATTGACAAAAATAAGTGAAAAGATTAATAAAAAGCACCGCTTTAGGTAAAACGACCTGCTTCTCCTTCTCCAGCTCCTTCTTCAGCATCTCCACCTCTTTCTCAACATCCTCCCTCCACTGCTGCTCATCCTGAAGCCTCTTTTCCAACTGAGTGGAGATGAGATGAGATTTTGTCAAGTAAATGTTATACAGAGACCTGGATGACTACTTAGTTTTGACTGGCTAGAAGTTAAACATCTTAAAATCTTTTATTTATTTGTAGACAAAACTATTGTGACAAGTTTAAATATTGTATTGCTGACAAAGCAGAGGGATTATGATAAAAGGCAGAGTAAATGACTATAACTATAACCATAATATTATTCACAAGGATACAAAACTTAAGACTTTACCTCCTGCTTGTGCCTCTCTTGTAGTTCAGTCAGCTGTCTCTCAAACTCCTGATTCTTCTTCTTTAGAGATTCAAATTGAAGCTTAGACTCACAAAGCTAAAAGCAAAAGAGAAGAAAGATGTGTTCAGGGAACTGGACTTAGTTTTGAAGTCTAGAGCTTTCTACACATACGAATGTGAACTCTGAGAAACTGAAATCTGTGTGTGTTTGTTGGTGTGAGGGATTAGGTTGTTGCACAGGTTTGTATATTGTAACTGCCCTCGAGAATAAAACAAAAGAGTTTTCTGACCCTGTTAGCAGAACAACATAAAACTACAAACAACTATCACAAAATAAAACTAGTATTGCTATGGTTACTGTTTGTTTAGAGTTATGCACAATACTTATTTGGTTAGGGAGACTCAATCTAAATAAATACAATAAGATTAAGTTGAAGGTATCAACCTCTTTGTTCTTGATCTCCATCTTCGTCTTTAGTTTGTCGTCAAACTTGGAGGAGAAAGGGAGAGGGGTGAAAGTCAACCAATTAAAAGATGTCAGCTATTCAAGTAAAGAAAACTGCGGAGTTTTGAACATTAGGTGGAGCAATGTGTGTGTGTGTGTGTGTTTGTGTACCTCTCTCCGCAGGTTCCTGATGTCTGCGGTCTTCTTTTCCAGTTGAGATTGGGTCTCCTTAAGCTCTTCACAGGTCTGTCTCCTGTTCATGTCAGCTGACTGTAAATGACAACAACAACGGTAAGAGTAATAATATTAATACAAAACTTCAGACTCCATCAGTATTTTATCACTTTACCGTCAACTCCTGCTTGTGCTTGTGTCTCATTTCAGTCAGCTGTCGCTCAAAGTCCTGATTCTTCTTCATGAGGGATTCAATCTGAAGCTTGGAGTCACAAAGCTAAAAAAAAAAAGAGAAGAACAACAAAACTTGTTCAGGGAGCTAGACTTGGTTTTGAAGTTTAGTAATGTCTGAGAAGCTGAAGAAATATGGCCTGTTCAGTGTGTTTCCATGTCAGAGGTGTGGTTGAAGCAAATAATCGAACTTAAGTTGAAGTACTAAAAGAAAATTAATTAGCGATTGAACCTGATGGGCTAAAAGAAGTGGCAGTTGAAATGTAAGCACCGAGAAGAGTAACTGGCATTTAAAGGTAAAGAGGTCATTTTTTAAAAGTAAATTGAAATGCAAAAGTGTCAGATTAAATGAAAGAACTGGAAACAGTTGAATTGTCACATACATGCACTGAAAGAAGTAAAAAGGTTGAAAAAAAGTGCAACTTTAAGGGTAAGGACGTCTAAGTACTGAAAGCATTTTTAGAAATCTCAGCTAAAGCAGAAGACATAAAGAGGGAGCGATGAGTACATCTGTTAAATAACAGAAATAACATTGAATGTAACCTCTTTGTTCTTGGTCTCCAGCTCTTTGTTCAGGGTCTGCAGGTTGTTCTCCATCATCTGATTCTCCTCGTGAAGCTGCTCGACCTCCAGGAGAGAGGAGAGCAAGACAGACAACACTAAATACACACGTGTTTGTTTGATTAACACGTGTCAGTTACAGTTAACAGTAAAACTTATGATAGTAAAATAAAAGGTCATACAAGTATCCTTCCTTGTGTGTCGTGTGTAACTTTGCTTCCTGCCTTTGTGTGCCTGGTTGATTGTCTGTCCTACGTAATGTGTTCCACCTGTGTCTAATCACCCTGCCGTCGCTTCTGTATTTAAGTCTGTCTTCTTCCTGTCCAGTTTTGGAATTTAAATCTCTTTATAGAAGTAACTGCCTTCTCAGTTCCTTATTACATGTAAATTGTAAGTCTGTACCAAGGCCCATCCAGCAGATGGCACCATTTTCACTTTATGAAATGCATTGAAATAATAAATCAATATCAGAACAAGTGCTTCATGCTCGTTCAGTGTGTCAGAAAGCAAAATTTCTGAACTAGCTAAAGTTCAAACACAAATAACAGAAAGCTTGAAGTATTTTAAAAGAAGGGAAAATGTAATAGTGTAGACTTAGTTAATAGGCTACTGTGGAAAAGTCATACCTAATGCTGCAAGTAGAACATATTTATACTGGACTAACAGGTAGTGCTGTTAGTGGTAGTAGCAGTAACAGTACTAGTTGTTGTAATTACATAATTTTGTTTGACAATTTTGAAGCAGAAATTAACAACAAACAAGGAGTCTAAAAACAAATGCATATCTTGTAGGAAAATATGGAGAGATAAGCTGATATCTCAACAAATAAATAAAGCTTTAGGTGAAGAGATTAACCTGTTCTTTCTCGGTCTCCAGCTCCCTCCTCAGTACCTCCATCTCCTGATTCTTCTCTTGGAAATGCTGATTTTCATCTTTTTTATCCTCCAACTGACAGAAGAAAGAAGATGAGCGGAGATCAGGTGGGGAAATGTTTGTTTTTCAAAGAAAGAAAAATCCCATTTAGGAAAGGTACCATGTATTTTTATGGTGAATAAAAAGATTCATATTTGGTGTCATTAGGCCCATTATGAGACTTAAATAGCAGATATCACAAATGTACTTTTCAGTACAAACATTTTCTGTGACCTCTCATCCAAAATAATAGTTGGAGATTGTAAAAGTAACCTTTGTTCCTTTATTCTTTTAAGTAGCTCTTAATAACTGGCTAGGACATGGAGAGACACGACATCAGTCACTTGAAATGTCAGGCACTATGGCTTTGACCTTTGCACCCTGACTACTGTTGATTTTTAACTGAACAGAATCAGGCACATCACAGAATTTCACACATGACACATCTAATACAACATGTAATGTGTCCTTATGTGGTGGAAGACAGTGTGCATATCGGGTGTGTGTGTGTGTGTATGTGTATTACTTTCTGCATCCTGTGAAAGGCAAGGGCGAACTTCAGCTGATGAAAAGACTCCCGCATTCCTTTAACGGTGTCCGCCATTAACATCTTAGATTTTTCCAGCTAACAGACAGACAGAGAGAGCTGTTGATCTTTCACCGTTTGTGCTTAGTGCTGGCCAATAAAACAATACTGATTATTATCCCAATATAGTTTTCCTCAATAACAATAAAAAATGTTCAATATATTGGCAATAAATGTTTGATTCAATTCATTTGAATCACAAACAAATTAGCACTTAATTTCCCTATTGAGATGTTTCTCTTTATGTTTTTTTATGTTCTTACGTGATAACATTTTTGGCCATTTTGCTCAGCTTTATTTGTTTGTCATTTCACAACAGTCCAGCCTGTATCTCTTGGTTATTTGCCCGTGCAGCAGATGTCACCATTTTGACTGTTTCAAATAAGAGCCTTTGGTAAAACTTTAAGACTGACAAAGTAAGTAAATAGTATAAATGTGTAAGTAAGTGTTAAGTGTTTCCAAATGTATGAGTAAATGAAGGAGACATTTTGTTGACAATTTTCTTATGGTATTGTTTGAATGGTGTATGTTCTATTCATTGTTATATTCACAATGAAAGGTAAATTTATTAAATTGCAGTGGTGGGATAAGTACTAAAATGTCCTACCCAAGTAAAAATATAGATACCACATTAATCCTGGTTTTAAAAAATACTTACGTATCAAAAGTATAAAGTACTACACAATCACATCTATTGATCTTACAATAAGCAAATTATGTTTTTAAATTCATTCAAGTCAGATTTGAATACAGCAGTGTAAGTGAATCATAATAAGGAAAACTGAGTAATGATGGTCTGGTGCAGAATGTACATTTTTATATATCAAAATACTTAAAGTAAAAATCCTGAAAAAAACTATTTAAGTACAGTAATGAATTATTTGTAATTAGTTACTTTACACCTCTGAATAATTATGTAGACCTAATTATAATTAATTAATTATTAATAAAACAGAGATGGCTTGATATCTTAATAAACAAACAAAGTTTTATTTGAAGAGATTAACCTCTATCTGTTTCTCTTTCATGGTCTCCAGTTCCAACATCAGGAACTCCTCGTTCTTCGCCACCCTCGGATTCTTAACTCGAAGCTGCAGAATTTTATTTATTTCATCCTCCATCTGAAAAAGAAGATGAAGAGAGATCAGGTGGAGAGATGTTTTTTTTACTAAAGCATCTAAGTTAAGATTGAAAAAAAACAAAAAATCTAATTCATGAAATCAAAAGATCCACCAAAATCCAAGCACTTGCTGGATCTTTAGTTTTACCATCAGAGCAAAGTCAAAGGTGTAGAAAACGTGTTACTGTAGTCATCACCAGAGAATCCAGTCTGTCATATTTGTCCCCATTAACATACAAGCAGATGTTCTGATACGTGAAAATAATGGAAAATATGATTACCTGTAGTTTGATGTACCTTTCTGTATGTTCTCTCAATATATACTTTTTATTGAGAGTTGCAAGTACTTGTGTATACTTGTATGTATTTGCCATCTCATGGTATGAATAAAGTTACTTTCAGTTTTGAGGTATTTCAGAAAAGGTAGATAGATAAAGAATGAATAACTCTTTGTAATCTCATCTATTTGATTTACAGTGTTGCTTCAGCTCAGGCTGAACTAGTAAGAATTTCTACCCACTATGTATAATTATGGTGAATTAATAAGTTCAGGTTTGGTCTCATGAGGCCCATTATAAGCCTTAAATTACAGATGGTCAGTCATTTAAAATCTTTAGAATTATGGCTTTGTACCCTGTTGGTTGTTGAGTTTTAACTGAACAGAATCAGACACATTGTAAATTGATGATGACGTCGATAACTGAAACCACCATGACATTTAACACAATGCTTGATTTAGATGTTTAGACATGTGTGTCTGTGTCTGTGTGTGTGTTTGTGTTACTCTTTGAATCCTGAGCATGGCAAGGGTGAACTTCAGCTGTGGAAAAGACTCCCGCATTCCTTGAAGAGTGTCCTTCATTGTCCTTTCAGATTTATCCAGCTGACAGAGAGACAGAGAGACAGAGAGACAGAGAGACAGCTGTGTTTCACTGCAGGATGTCACAGGCTGTAGTACTGGCCTAACTGTTAGAGGCAAAAACATTTGAGTGACTGTGATTGACTTTTACATGCTGAAACTTGAATGATTGAAAATATACTATCTTAGCAAAGTTTAAAATCATTTCAATTTTGGCAGCCTAGAAGCTATTTTAGGTCCAGGGCATGTTTTATCCTTTATCCTATACACATTATCCTCTATCACCAGGGAGAGAGCATGTAGCAGTGTCGACAGCTCTATTCATGGGTGTTTTCGTTGGAGATTTGTGTGGCATTTTTCAGGTTTATGCAGACTGTTGCTTTCTATTTCTACCCCTGGCTGAAACGTAGCACTGTAATCCAGCATGTCGGTGTATTGTAACCCCACCATCATGTTGTCTTAGACAATATAAATGGAGGTGTGGTGTATATTGTGAACATAGATGAGTGCCCCAAACCCATGATAGTGTTATCATGTGATCTGGACTACTTTGGGCTAGAAACCATCCAGCCATCCATCGTCAACTGCTTATCCTGCCTACAGGGTCGCGGGGACTGGAGCCAATCCCAGCTTACATTGGGCGAAAGGCGGGGTACACCCTGGACAGGTCGCCAGTTCATCACAGGGCCACACATAGACAGACAACCACTCACACTCAAATTCACACCTAAGGACAATTTCAGAGACAACATAACCATTCTTCTACATAAAAACAAAATTATTGCAATTCACCCTGTAGCAGGGGGAGGCACTACCTGGCTCCGTCTAAAGATAACACACTTTGCATATCAGCATCTTGTCTTGATGGGTTTTATTTTTTAAAAACCTCCTTTTTGGTCTGTTTTTCGTTCTTTGTCATTCATTTGTTTCCCTCTCCTCTCGTTTCTGTTCACTTCCTGCTCTTGTGTTTTCTGCTTACATTTACATTTATTCATTTAGCTGACGCTTATATCCAAAGCGACTTACAATTGCTATTTATGACATAAATCTGGAGCAACTAGGGGTTAAGTGTCTTGCTCGGGGACACAACAGTGGATTCACAGTGGGGGGGATTGAACCCGGGTCTCTCACGACAAAGATATGTGTCTTACATGGCACCATCACCACCCACTGATGCTTTGATTGTTTTCTCCACCCTGATTGTTTCCACCTGTGTCTTGGTAATCACCTCCCTCTAGTATATTTAAGTCAGTGTGTTCCTGTTGTTTGTTGTCATGCCAGCCATTTCCTGGAGTTCTCTCTGTGTTTTGCTGGATTTATTCTTTGTTTCTCTCTGTATTGTGCTTGTTACTTTCTGGACATGTTTGCTTGTGTTGGACTGCTTTCCTGCTTTGTGATCGTCACCATATTGTCAAGACTTTGTTAATTCCCTATTGGTTTGTTGGCCTTTTACCTGACAGCTTACCTGCCTACCGAACCCTGTTACTGGTTCCTACTGGTACTTAAATGTAGTCACAGTGGAAGGAAGCAGTAGTGTGGGGAACAAGGAATGCCAACATTTTAGTCTTAATTATTTTTGTAAATACTGGGAAACTGAACTTTGGAAACGATTCAAATTGATATTCTGCTGAACCTATTAGTAATCGTGATGTAACTTAATTCATTTACAATGTGCTGTGGAGGTCCAGCTTTGGTGAAATTTCTCAAAACTTAATTTTCAGATAGATAGCAACACATTTCCCTCATTTACTTCTCAGTCACATCTTTTTTTTTGTTTTTGATTTACCTCTGATCTCCTTTATCAGATCAGACTTTTGACATACCTTTTCTTTACTTACATCCTTGGTATTATTTTCTCTTTGAACACTGTGCAAAGGGTTTATTGGATTCCTCTCAGCTGTCTTAAGATGCTCCTTCTCTTTGTTTCCTTCTGTCAGAAACACAAGAAACACGTTTCATCCCTGTGATTAGAAATGCTTTCCTATAACTCGCAGCATAAAATTACAAAATACTTACATTATCATGCAATGAATCTGATTTTAATATAAACGTTCAGACTACTTTTTACATTTTAAATTGTGACATGTATACATTGACTGACTTACTGTTTTGATTTTGTTTCCATTTATACGCATAAAAGACGACTATGAGAATGGACATGAAAGAGAAGCCAAATGTGACGGGGATAGCAGAACGAGACATGTCAGGAAAGAAATCCTCTGAAATGATAAAACACAGGAAAATTTATTTTTAAAGTTAAGCTAACAACACATATCTACAGCCAAAGTGTAAGGTAAATATACATACAACATATAGAATCCAAGAATGGGGAAAGACATATTTCCAAAAGTTCCCTTCTGAGAGAAGCTCCGCAGGTTTTACCATGTTGATGGAAATAAGAGGATGTTAATAAATCTTATGTGTGTCAGTTTACCTGTTGCGACTGGGAGACTGTGGAGGACAAACAGCAAGAATCCAAACCAGCTGTACAGACTCATTTCCTCTATGAACCAGGAAAAAAAGATCAAGAGTCAGCCCCAGGGGAAGCTTGCCTAGGGCAACAAATGCGCTACTGCACGTCCAGCCCTGCACATTCAGGTTCAGGGCAAGTCTAGCTTATTTCTGCACATCACAAATTAACGCAGCATACATAGCAAAGAAACAGGCTGTTGTAAAGTCCAAGAAGGTTCTTCTCTGCGCAGTATGTCAAGGTAACAGTATCACATACACTAAAATTCAAAGGTCATTGTTGCTGTACAATAAACTGACCGTTCTTGTACTGTAAGTCTGTTTTTGTACACATTTTATAATTGTATAAATATTGTATAATGAAAAGATGAATGGTTATACTAAGAAAATGAAAATGACCACAATTTACCTTTTAAACAATGCCACAATCCTGTGCCCTACGAAAGACAACAAAAATATGCAGGTGATTTATCCCAACGGCTGTCAGACACAGCAATGACAAAACATAACACTCTGTAACATCAATACTCATCCCTGTCACTCATCAAATTTGTATATATATATACACACATCTATTTCAATACATCTATATCTGTATATATATATATAATTCACCCTAAACTACACTGCGGATATATTTCTTGTCCTGTGCAATCATTATAGATATATATATATATTTTTTTTTTGTACACCATGCCACTACCTCCTGCTGTGACCTGAATGTTCATATCAATTGCATCTGTATATAAAAACATATATTTTTTTATATAATTCTCCAAAATGTTGTATTTTTCAATTCCATTTCTTATCTAATGTGCATTTTCTGTCGGTTGTGTGCACACGAAGCTGTCATAACAAGTGAATTCCCCAACAGATACTCTGCATTGTGAGAATCCCTGAGCATTATATATATTTTGTATTTTCTTTATCACATGGATGCATAAAAAACAGACATCAGTAATATTTAGTTGTTTAAATGAATGTCAAATCACCTATTTTCTTGCTTGTAATCTGCTGCATCACTTATGTCACTACAGCTGAACGAGCTTCTCCTTAATCTTATTTAAGTCTTCTTAAAGTTAATTGGGTGAATATACTATTATAACTGTAAAGACAAATGTTTTTTTCTCAAAAAGATGCAACATTATTATTTTAACCACCAATGTTATTTACAACTAAAAACATTGTTTACCTTAAGAACTGAGATGATGCATCGACCCTCCTCAGATCAGTGTGACTCTGTGAAGTCTCCTTTTAAACAACTTCTGAATACCTGGAGGCGGGACTTCTTCAGAATTTAGGGTGAAAGAGTTCCTCCTCAAAGAATTTGAACTACATCAGTGTGTCTACAAAAGTAAAAAAAAAATTATTTTGTACGTGTGGCAATGTGTTTGTTTGTTTTGGCTTCTTCTGGGTGCATGTTTATATACAACTTATGCATCTCATGTCATTTTTACTAATGCATAATCTTATCTAAATCCAGTTACATAAATAAAGTAATATTTCTTGCTGAGTTAGATGAAAAGATCAATACCGCTCTCACTGTGAGATTTAGATGCAGATATTGTTACCTTTTGACAGAGCCAGGTGAGCTTTTTCTGCTGAGCTAAGCTTAAAGCTGCTAGCTTTATATACAGACACGAGAGTGGTATAAATATTATCTATCTCACAGCAACAAAGTAAATGAGTGAATTTCCTAAAATGTTGAAGTATTCCTTTGATGCAGCCCGTCAAAGCGCCACAGTGGCTAAGAGATGCAGATTGGTGGAACTACTTTGTTGTGGGCTTTTTTTTTGTATTTGAGTGCATCAAGTGTACAAGTCATTCAAGTATATAATATATTCTTCTTCAACATTCACTCTTTCCTAATCAATCCATCAATTTCACATTCATATATTAGGCCTCTATAATATATATATATATATATATATATATAAAGCATGACATGCTGAGAGAAATGCATGATACTTCCACCTAATAACAAAAAAGGGTTAACTAGTCTGTCACATTACTCTCATATCAAAGCAGCATACAAGCGAAAAATTCTTTATTGTTTGTTTACTACTTTCTGTTTGTAACTGGTTCGACTTCAATCCCCCAGTTTGAGATAAAATCAGTTTCCTGTTTCATTGGAACAACAGGTGATGTGTGCCGTGTTTTTATTTCATCTTAAATACCTTTTTGTACACATCTGACCAAAGAAAAAGAAAACTGCTCAGCAGATGGCTCGTCAGTATGTTTGTAAAAAAAAAAAAAAAAATGTTAGATACTGTCCATGATCCAAGTGGAACCCAAAGTGTAGAGACAAAACTGGAATCTGATCTCACTCTAAATAAAATGACACATTATTTAATACACACGGGAGAACACGACCTGCACAAATAAACTAAATGTGAACCTCTTCACCAGCGGTGGGATGTAATAGAGTTCATTTATCAACCACTGGACTTGTACTATTTTAAGGCAGCTGTGAGAGTATTTCCATTTCATGCAACTTTCTACTTGACCTCCACTACATTTCAGAGGAAAATAGCCTACTTTTTACTCCACTGCTGTTTGGGGTCCCTGAGGATTCAGTCACCTGCTTTCCTCACTTGGTCCTTACCAACAGTATATTAAGTTATAAAAATACGCTTGACCAAGTCACAGCATTAAAATGCACCAGCAATAACAATTCAATAATATAATAATCTAAGATTTATAACAGTGACAAGAGCCATTCTGCTTCAGACTGCATACTTTTACATTTGATATTTTAAGTATATTTTGCTTTGTCCCTTTAATTAAAATGTAGTATTTTTATGTTGTGAAATTGCTACATTTAATGTAAAGGATACATGCACAACATAACATTTACACAGATTTATATCCTACATTTGATAATGAAACAAAATGTTACGTCCCCGCTGTCTAGGGGTAGGAGAGACGTAAACATAAACCAGATGGATTTGGTATGGGTGGAAAGATTATTTATTAGGCAGTCGGATACACACAAAATGGTCAAACAGAAAATGGGCAAGTGGGTGCTGCGTAAAAACAAAGAACCAAATATAACAAAAAGAGATCCCTCCTACGTGGGGGATTACTAAACTACTTGAAAAAGGATAAACAAAAACCTCTCTAGCCGTTGTTCAGAAGTGGAAAAAACACGGGGAGCGCAGCACCCCTGAACCTAGTGTCACTAAACAAGTATTTAACTAACAGGTGTGGGTAATCAGTGAACGAGCTTCCCCTAGCCCAAGTCTGTAGACCACCTACTGGGATCAGCCCAGGTGAGTTACCAACTCTCAGTAACACACAGATCTAACAAACACAGAAGCTGTTTCCACTGAGGATACGCGCGCGCACACAGAGTTCAAGGTTAGGACCAGCGTCAGGGAAAACCACATGGCAAAAGGTAGCTGCCTCGAACCAGCAGCACACCAGCCTATTTGAGGGGGAAGGCACGAAGGCGGTCCTGCAGGCAGCTTGGCGATTGGAGAAGGGGTGGTGTGCCGCTCCAATCAGAATCGTCGGAGGTGGGAGGCGGGATCAGCCAGGCCTGCCGAAGTCCAGCCAATCCCCCGCCTCAGAGTGTAACACATGCAGGGAGAAACACAGGCAGCAGTGACACAGGGCAGCCGTAACACTCATGTTTACTCTATGTGATAACTCCCTTGAACTGCAGCAACCATCAAAAGACAATCCAGGGAGCGAATCCACGACATCATTCATTCTTCCAGCTGAAGACGTGATCGGTTTCCTCTTTCACTGGAACAGCAGGTGCAACAGTAACATACCTCACACCATCAGACATCAGACAAACAAATGAAAATTTATTGAAAATCAAACTGAGAGTTTAGTGCTCATACACACACTTGCCAAACAGTATCTTCAAGCATCACTGTCCACTGAGAATGTGTTTTCTTCCTCTTCCTCTAGAATGCATCCTTGCATAACACTGCGGTTGAAATGAAAACAAAAACAAACACGCGTGGCTTTGTGTGTTTTTGTTTGGCTCACAACACAAACGGTTCCCTTGCCACCCTTATTGTCCTTCATGAAGGACACCATCATGAAGGTTGTATTGTGTAATTTAGAGCAAAAGTTGCATACAGCTCTGCAGAGCACTGACCTGAGCAGGTCTTGATTTTAAATTGCTCTTTTTTTAATTTGGGGTAAAAATCTATTAGTTTGTTCAATGTTTTTGCAACAAATGTCTTACCATGACTTACACTGTGTCTTCGCAGAAGGGGTATCATGAGCTGCGTGTTTGTTCCCGTTCTCGCCTGCCAGCTAATCTCTGTCGGCGGAGACAGAGCAGGGAGAAGATCAGGTGCCTAAAGGAGCTCATACACCAATGTGCAACCAACCAATCACAGCCTGGATGGAGTGGGACATTAAAAAAAGGTTGTGCACTACAGAAAACTTTTGAAATATTGAACTTGTTAAGTATGAATGGTTCTTATCATTGAGGAGTTAGTAGCATGAAAAAAATATATACTGTCATGTAGACTGTTTTTCATGCGCAAAGATTTAATAAATGAAAACAACCCACAAAAATTTAACTGCTGTTTTGTCCAACTTGAATTGAAATTGTACTAGTGGTAAGCTATACTACTGTTATCTGGAATTATAACGAATAAACTAACATTAGCCCCAATCAATGTTTAAATTATACACATTCTCAACACGATGGCAGCGTATTTACAAATTCAGACTTAATTTACATATCAATCAGGCTTTGATGCACTCAACGTAAGTTTCAAGGTTTGCACTGACTGGTTGATTCAATATGGGCACCGACACTGACCTTCATAAAAGGATCAGTTATCAGCCAAATATCAACAATAAATATTAAACAGAGTTTTCTTTTCCATTCCATTGTTTTGCAGCAGTTCGCTTTAAAGTGGTTTTTAATGTGAAAACAGACGTTTTGAAATGCTAACAAGCTATGCTAGGTTATCATACCAACATTTGTTAAAGCACAAACACAAAGAACAGCTGAGGCTGGTGGGATGTCATTACTTTTGCATATATATGTTCATAAACCTGCTAGATGAAAAGTCAGTTTTATTAATGTTATGACAATTCATCCTAAAGGGAGAAAACATGTCTGAACCACATTTAATGACAAACATCCAACAGACTTTTCAGTAGGATTAATCTCTGGGAATGAAGAATGTATAAAATTTGAACATACAAAATTGTGATCCAAGAGCTGTTATAACAAAATAATGGCCCAATTTTATTACAGAATGTATGAGCTTAAAGGCCCTGAAAACGTCTTTGGTCAATCAGCTTCTTACTGTGAGTGACGGGATCCTACATAGCTCAATTGGGAAAAGGTGGTGTCACATACTTACGTGGGGGGGGCTGTCAACTCCTTAAACAAAAACCATCGCAAGGGGCGTCACACACACGTCGTCTACTATACACGCAAAATCACTGTTATGTGTACAATAGACAAGCGTGTATATGTCACGCCTGTAGTAAAATGTGAGTAAATGTAAGTTTAAAAGTAAATATATTATAAATATATTTCAAAATAAAATGTGAAAAAATGGAAACAGTAAGAGAGAAAAATGTAGAAATAAAGCATAAGATGTAAAGTAGCTTTTATAAAGTGTAATACTGAGTAAATTAATTCACACACTGGACACCACATACAAAGGTATCAGTGTCTATTTATTAGCAATATGTTAAAACGTAACAGTGTTAAAATACATATATGTTAGGCAAGTCGTTTCTAGCAGGTAGTGCTCTGATGCTTCTCCCTTTTTCTAAAAAACATACATTAACATGATGCTAACAGTGATGCTGTAAGATACAAGATAGTTTAATAGCAACAAACATCAAAGACGATCACATCAATTCCAGAATCATACAAATACAACATGAACATCAAAATCAAACTTTACCGTTCTGGTGACCAAAAACTCCTGTGAAAGTAAAAATAAAACACTTTGTACGCTTCTAATCTTGAACAGGAGTTTGTGGAATAGAGAAAGGCCATCTGCAGACCTGAGATCAGATCACAGACTACTTTGTATCAATCTGTCTTTACATCAGTGCTTCAGTCAAACTCCATGATCTCAGTATAGTTTTATCAGCCGATCATAACCACGCTGTGAACTGCTGAAGATGACTCAAGTTTACTTTACATCTATCTTCAGATGACTTTCAAAAGAGTCAGTTCATCAGTCAAAGAATCCACTGGATCACTCTGATTCTCTGCTGTTTCTGGACTCCGGGTCAAAGATTGTTCTCTGAAGTCTTCCTGACCTCTCAGAGGTTTTTCTTCCTGTTGTTTATCTGCTTGTCTCTTCTCAGAGATCTTCATCATCAGCTGCTTCTTGCATGTTGTCTTCTCTGTGTCCGTCTGTCTTCCTTTCTTGCAGTGTTTCATTCGTCTGTTTCTCCATCTCCTTTAATTTTTTAATAATTTCCTCCTTTTCATTTGCTGCTTTCATTTTCTTCTGTCTCGTGACTCTCTCATCCTTCTTCTGTCTCTCCATTATTGTCTCCATCTTCTCCAGCTGTTTCTGAAGTTCTGTCTTCTTCGTCTCCAGATCATTCTTGGTGTCTAAAAGAAGTCTGACAGCTTCATCTTTCTCTGCTGCTTCTTCCATCTTGTCTTCCTCCCTGTTCACTGACTGTAGCTTCCTCTCAGCCTCTCCTCTCTGTCTCTCCACCTCTTCCAGCTGCACTTTCAGTTGCTGCATCTGCTTCTCCTTCGTCTCCATCTGCCCCTTAAGTCTAGAGTTCTTTTCTTCAAATTTCTTCTGTTCTCTGTCTTTTGTCTTTAGCTTTCTCATAAGTTTTTCCTTCTCTTTGTCCAGGTCATTCAGTGTCTCTCTTTCTGGCATAAGCTGTTCTCCATGTTTTTCTTCCTCCATCAAACACTGAGCTTGTGTTTCATCACCTGCAGACTTTATTTCCTCCCCTTCCTCTTCTTCCATCAGCTGCTCTGTGTTGTCACTTTCAGGTTTAGCCTCTTCCTCGTGGTTCAGATCACTTTCTGCTGGATGTGGAGCGTCTCGTTTCTGATTGATTGGTTGAGTCTCTGTCTCTTCTTGACCCTTGTCCAAACCATTTTCTGTCTGTCCTTCTGCCTGGTCTGTCTCTCTTTCTTCCATCAGCTGCTCTGTGTTGTCACTTTCAGGTTTAGCCTCTTCCTCGTGGTTCAGATCACTTTCTGCTGGATGTGGAGCGTCTCGTTTCTGATTGATTGGTTGAGTCTCTGTCTCTTCTTGACCCTTGTCCAAACCATTTTCTGTCTGTCCTTCTGCCTGGTCTTTCTCTCTTTCTTCCATCAGCTGCTCTGTGTTGTCACTTTCAGGTTTAGCCTCTTCCTCGTGGTTCAGATCACTTTCTGCTGGATGTGGAGCGTCTCGTTTCTGATTGATTGGTTGAGTCTCTGTCTCTTCTTGACCCTTGTCCAAACCATTTTCTGTCTGTCCTTCTGCCTGGTCTTTCTCTCTTTCTTCCATCAGCTGCTCTGTGTTGTCACTTTCAGGTTTAGCCTCTTTCTCGTGGTTCAGATCACTTTCTGCTGGATGTGGAGCGTCTCGTTTCTGATTGATTGGTTGAGTCTCTGTCTCTTCTTGACCCTTGTCCAAACCATTTTCTGTCTGTCCTTCTGCCTGGTCTGTCTCTCTTTCTTCCATCAGCTGCTCTGTGTTGTCACTTTCAGGTTTAGTCTCTTCCTCGTGGTTCAGATCACTTTCTGCTGGATGTGGAGCGTCTCGTTTCTGATTGATTGGTTGAGTCTCTGTCTCTTCTTGACCCTTGTCCAAACCATTTTCTGTCTGTCCTTCTGCCTGGTCTGTCTCTCTTTCTTCCATCAGCTGCTCTGTGTTGTCACTTTCAGGTTTAGCCTCTTCCTCGTGGTTCAGATCACTTTCTGCTGGATGTGGAGCGTCTCGTTTCTGATTGATTGGTTGAGTCTCTGTCTCTTCTTGACCCTTGTCCAAACCATTTTCTGTCTGTCCTTCTGCCTGGTCTGTCTGTCTTCTTCCTCCCACTGAAGACTGATGCTCCGTTTCTTTATTCACAGACTCGATGTTTTCTTGTGTCTGGATCAAAACGTTGTTTGATTCTCTTTGGTGAGGATCCTTTGTTTGAGCTTGAAGTTCTGTTTCTTCATTCAACGGGTCCTGAATGTTAATTCTCTCTCTTTCTGCTGCTAGTTGTTCTCTGTCTGTTTCTCTTTCCATCAGTGGCTCCTGTTCTGAATTGTTTCTCACAGAGTTGCTCTTCTTCTCTCTCACTTTCTGTGTTTCTTCATCCTCGAGGTGCTTCTTGTTTCCTGTGTGCAGAAACAACCAACAGTGTTTACATGGCATGTGACTGTGTTGCTTTTCTAAAAATGATGGAAGATGAGATGAAGAGAAAAGAGCTTGACAAGCACAGCAGAGATGTGAAGAAGAGATCTTGTCACATGTAAATTTTAACATAAATTTGGTATATATACTATGATCTTAATTTCAACTGACACAAGAAACATTTTAAATGAGAAACACATATTCTGACAATCTGAAGACTGAGAGACCTGATATTTCAAAACTAATAGCAATTGCTACAGAACTCAGTAATATAATCATTGATGTTACAAAAGTAAAATGAACAGTCATAGATTGATATTTTAAAAAGTTTCTGACTTACTGATTTTGTTTTGTCTCCATTTCCACACAATAACAAAGACCGCTGAAAGAACCAACATGGCAACAATCAAACCGATGATGGCAGGCGCAGATGAACTGGAGCTAGAATCAGACCGGCCTGGGAAGAAATCATCTGAAATATAAAACATAGAACAGAAATTTATTTATATAAGAGACCAGTCAGTCAGCATTAATAGTGGCTCACCCCAGGGCTGTGTCCTGTCCCCACTACTGTCTCTTCAATATACAAATGACTGTAGGAGTCACTTTCACTTTGATAACAAGTTTCTTCTCAAGTTTGCGGTCGACATGGTTTTAATTACTCTGTTGGAGAGGTCGACTATGGGCCAGTTTTGAACAACTTGAATAGTGCAACCACCACTTTCTGAAGTTAAATGTCTATAAAACTAAAAACATGACCATAGACTTCAGGAAAACCCACTCAACCTCTCCAACAATAATCAAGGGCTCACACCCTGAATTTTGACTTCAACACTTGTGCTATTTTTATTTTATAAATCTTTTATTGAGTCAATTTGAACTTTTTGTTGCATAGCTTGGTATGGGAATCTTACAGTGCAATGCAAAAATAAACAAAAAAGAAAAAAGTTAGCCAGCAAAATTACTGACACACAACAGCTTTCTTTGGCAGACATCTATGATAGACAAGTTATGTCTATTATAGGTTATGTTATGCGAAAGGCTTGGACTATCATAGCCAGATCTTTGTTCTTCCCCCCCTCAGGTTAAATATATACAAATAATGTTTGCACCGATGGCAATTAATGCCCTAAATCTGCAGAAGCATCCTACAGTGTTGAGGCTACCATTTCAACTTTTTGAGTAATTTCAGATGAACAAATAGATTGTTAGATTGATTTTGTTTCTGTTCTTAACCCCTGGTGATTAAATTGAATTGAATTGAAAGTCATAGCTGTCAAAAACAAAAAGTTATGTGTGATCATTTTAATTAATTTTCTAACCTGGAACCTGGATGTGAGTCTCTCTGATCTGGTTGATGTCCTTCTGTTGGACTCTACAGGTGAAGCTGTTGCTGTGTCTCTTCTCCACAGTCACTCTGCTGCTGAGAGTATAGAGGTCATCAGGACCTCTGACTGTCTCTGTAGGTCCAGCAGAGAGGAGGTTTCCCTCACCGTCCAGCCAAAACACCTCAGGCTCTGGATACCAGCCAGCAGACTCACACTGTAACACCACGCTGCTGCTGTTTTTGGACTTTTGGATACCAGGTGAGGAGACGGCTCCTAAAGATGAGATGATTAAGGAGTTTTTTTAAAAGTGGTTTTACAGTTTGCCTGCTAACATTAGCATTCCTGGCTAACTAGCTTTCTGCCTTTTGTCATAACCTTCTTCTGTGGCCAAAGGTAGCATCTCTTTTTCCAAATACATTATTTTGTGGGTTTGCATATTCAGGACTGGCACATCTAGTGTGTTCTACTTTAACATGACACAAACCTGAAATCAATTGTAACCCTATAAGATGCCAACTGAAATATCTCTATTATTAGATGGATCACCATGACATGTGGTTCAGATAGCCATGGTCCCTAGAGGATGAATCCTTCCTAGTGATCCTCTCAAATTTTGTTCATGAGCCACTAGCAGGTCAATGTTGTGAGTTCTCCAGATAAATATCTCAACATTTTCAAGATGGATTGGTACAAAAAGTCGTACAGACATACAGTACATGCACCTCAGAGGTTGAATCTTTATGACCTAGGTTATTCCTGACATATCTTCTAGTAAGCACCACCAGCAAGATGACACTTTTGGATTTCAGTGAAATGTAAAGGGATGTACTCAAACCAGAATTTTCCAAGTCAACTCAACTGACAAGGGCCTGAAAAATTTGGGCTCTGAACACTTAATTTCCTGCATTCTGGTGAATTCTTTTTCACCAATTCATTGAGGAAATGTTTCAGGTGACAACTCAAAATAAAATAAAAAATAGTGTAATATAATGCAGTAAGGCTGTCAGGTATTCTGTTTTACTGTCAGATATGTTTCTCCTGTACGTACTTTTCTCATTTAATTTTAATGTGCATATGGCACCTTTTCACCTTAATGAAAAATTAGCTTAATTAATTTGAAATCAGTATAAAAAAAATTATTGATTTAATATTTTATAGGGGGGTCTGGGGGTCCTCCCCCATAATATTTTGAGCATTAGAAGGACAAAATTTAGGTGACAAGAAGAAGAAGAATATAAAAATATAATAGAAAGTAATGCAGTAATCACTTGCTTATTCTTTTTTTTTTACTTTAAGTTATTTTTATTTAAATATAAAGATTTTTTACACTGCATTGCAGGCTTATTGTGAAAATAAACCTTTCTCATAGCATTTTTATTTGTCGGTGCAAGCTATTTTTCAGAACATTTTGAAGTGCTCCTCCTGCTCTCTCTGTCCCTCGGCCTGTCACTTTATGTCACTCTGTTTCAGAAAACACAATTCCACACAAATATTCACTTCAGCACCTCTGATAAAGTGCAGCTCACAGCCACTTTAAAGGGAATGAAGCATCCTGGAGACAGTAAAACAGTAGGCTAGTGTCTCAGAGCGAGGGGGACAGAGACAGCAGGACACAAAGCATCAGGAATATGTTTTGCGGTCAGGTGTCATGTTATTCTCTCACTACTTTGCGGCGACTGTTTGTGTTAATACACTGACTAGACACTGACTGACAACATTTATATTTAAATGTAGGCTACTGATTACAATTTTGCTTGGGACAATTCAGAAGTCGCGGACAAGCTCTGAAGCTGTGAGCCATGCTCTCTCTCTCTCTCGTGCTCTCTCTAAATGCAGGCAGGCTGAGTGACGGTGGGGGGTCACGTTACATGAACTTCAAACAAAATGTAGCAATATTATTGCGAGTAGCCTCCGCTCTTTGAAGAGCTGCGAGACAGGCTGCATCATGAAGATTATTGCATATTAACATGGAAAATGTTTTTGTTGCTGTTGTTGAGTTACATTCGGGGGTACAGTCAAAACATGACCTGGCGACGCTGATGGTATGAAGATTCAGTGGACAGTTCTCTCAGTGGAGAGTCTGAGGCCAAAGAGAAGCAAGAGGGAGATAAAAAAATAAAGAGCTATATAACAAATCATGGACCAGGAACGCCCTGAGAGTGTGACACTGTGTGAATAAGAGTTGTCTTAACATTACTTTCACAAATAAAAGTTTAAAATTCACTTTGAAGACAAAATACACCGACATACCTACAACAAGCTGAACAGTTGAGTCTGTTCTCAGTGCTGGGACGAAACATCTGTATCTGCCCGCATCAGATATTTTAACTTTGGAGAGTTTCAGTGAAATGTTTCCTTTCTTCAGTTCATCACTAAACAGTGACGTTCTTCCCTGGTAGGATCCATGTTTTTTACTCTCTAGCTCCACATCGTCACGCCACACAAGGACAAATCTGGGGTCCAGGTCAGGTCTCGCCCACTCCAGAGTCATGCTGAAAGCATCCATGACAGGGTCCAGGTAACATGGCAAAGTGATGTCCTCACCAACCATTGCCAGTATTGGCTTGGATGGACCAATCACATTAGACTGAGCTGAAAAGCATTATGGTGTTTATTTCTGCAGAATACACTTGTTTAGTCCAAAATCAGCAGAATAACTTTACATGTAAACATAAACTGTTAGGGATGTGTGTAATTTACCTCTACATGAGTGTATCGTGGCGAGGAGGACGAGAGTGTGGAAATCCAGGACAGTGAAGGCACCAAAGTAAAGGGACTGACTGAGTTCTACATGAAGCATCCTGGAGTTCTGAAAATAGAAATGAAGCGATATGACAAGTTTAGGTTAATCCAAGCGTGTAAACGGAAATCCAAGTAGCGTTTTAAACTTTTGTTTTTACCAATAAATGTCTCAAAAAGCACTGCCTCTCCTGCATTGTGCCTCACCTTCGTTACGCCGCGGAGTTTAGTTTCGCTTTCATCTGTAACAAAAGTCACGATAAGGTGAACAAAACACGTAGTAGTTTTATACTAAAACTGACATTTATGTTAGTTTTACAGTTTTACATTAATTAAGGCCTTGTTTTAAGCATTGCTTTTCTGTTACTTTCTGAAATTCAGACCGTATCTGACAGTCATTATCATAAATGACTCAGGTGATCCCGATACATTGAATTTAAAATAAATCATCAAAACAACCTGCATGCTCTAACATAACCCGATGCATCCGGGTGAAATATAGACTGATTAAATTATGCTGGTTAAATATTTTCTTTCCTACTTTCCTAATTTTGAAAGAAGTGCGGTAAGTTACGCCATTTCAAAGGAGGAAAAACATTTGTGGCACAGAGACCACATCGTGGTTGAGCCTTTTTCCTAGTCAAAAAACAATATTTTACATGTGATATACAGTAGGCTATACAACATATTTTTTTACAACACGTCTGCATACCTGTTTCTGAAAGTCTCTTGTAGGCGCTCTACGGTCAAAGTCCGAAAACGGAGGGGGTGTGTGTGTGGGGGGGGGGGGGGGGGGGGGGGGGGGGGGGCTTCTTCCGGTTACCTGGAATAAAAGGTGTGTTCACGTTTCAGAGGCCTATTTGTTAAAATAGGTTCTCAACAGATAAGTAAAATATAAGGAAGCAAATGCACTCATATTGTTTGTGTTTAAACTTTAAACTCTTTAAACAGGTAATTGAATGTTTTTGTTTGTGGGGAAACCAAATCAGACACAAATTGTTTCTCAAAGCTGAGAATTGTTTTAATGTTTTAAAACATTGCATTTTTGAGGAGATCACATTTTGAATGAAAATATTAAATGTACGGTCTCTTAAAACACTATTGCAAATGGATTATATCAGAATAAACCCCTTGAGAGTTTTTTCAAGACTACCAATTGATCCTGGTCTCAAACTGTTGTAATTCTTTCCTAAATTATGAGGAAAAATCAGAAAAGTTGAGAGATTTCAGACTAATCTTATTAAGGAAATGCTACTTCTGCCAAATCTAACAAAACATTGATGAATTTAAACATTCTTCAGGTTATTTATAATCACTGATGACTCAGCAGGCAGTAAGTAACACATTAGACATTTTAACCTGCTAAAAAGGAGAAGCTGCCACCTGACTGTTTGCTAATGATAGAGTCGGCTTGTATCAATTCTGTGTATTTTGCCAACCTCAGTTTCTTAACTCACAGTCACTAAATAAGTTTTCACATTCCCACACTCTTAGTTTCACTTGTATATGCAGTGAGATGATTCAGCTGTTATAAATGTGAGCCGAGCTGCAACAGCTGATGTGGACAAAACAGCAGATTGCAGTAAACAAAGTTTTTTTTTTAAAGAAACCAGAAAACCATTCAAATATGCCCGCATATGATCGAGATGTGGGAAATAAAAACAGGAGATATAACACATCTTATTTCAGTGCTTGAGACTTTTATTTTTTCAAAGACAAGAAAGAACAGTTCACTGTGCAGAATAATGTTGTACTAAACAACAGATTCAATCTGCTGTTATTAAAGCCACATGGCCTCAGAAACGATCCAGCAACTGTTTCTGTCACTTGTTGTTTCTTTCCTTAAGTTGCGTCACAGCGATATATAGAAATGTGATTTAGACAGAGATATATGGAGATTTGAGACTGATGGCACAAAGACAGATGCATCCCACATACACACAAACACACATCCACCCATGTTTGGGCTTCTGGGAGGTTCTTCACCTGGGAATTATCAGGGCTTTTTGGCACAAACTGATGGGAGGCGAACGTTACACAAGGTGTCATCCCAGCGCTTATCATCTGAAAGTACCAACGACACAGCAGTTAAGGCGACACTACAAAAACCAACATGTGAAAGTATGTATACTGACATTCACAAAGAAAGAATATTTGAGACTGAAAGTTCATTCAGTCTCACCACTCGACCCATTTCATTTTAAGATCTTAAAATACGCAGGACAATGGAAATTTGAAAAACCTACAATTCCATGACACTTCATCAAACTCTAACTACTGAGGAAGTTGTAAGATGGTCAGCTACTAATGGACCACGTGATGGGATTGTTCTGTGCACACAACACAGCACTATGCCATACATACATAGCATTTTAACAGCAAAGGTTTTTGTTTAATAAGAGAAAACCTTCCAAAAAAGTATAGATATGTGTGTATTAATGCTACTCATACATAATGCTCTAAATGAAATCAGTACGCTGTGATTTACCTCCATAATTTATCTGTAGACAGTGCTGCTTGCCCTGAAAGTTATCAAACCCTCCATAATACCGATAGTTGAAGGGTGTACCATCACTCCACAACCACACACCCTCCTAGAAGACACAACAAAATATTAAATTAATTAATAACACTAATGACCAGAAGACCTCGTGTAAAGATAAATATACCTCTTGTGCATCCGAGCCTCCAATCCATGTTTCTTTGTTCTCACGACTTGCGCTTGTGATCAGCCTCTGAATATTATGGTACTCTTCGGCGTTGTGAACGGACGCAAGGTTTCCACCCATGGACTCACAGTTTTTCTACAGTGGAGATAAAAAGACACAGAAAGAGAGAGACAGAGAGAACTTACCAAAGTAAAAAGGACGACACCAAGTTAGCAGAACCTGCAAATTACCCAAATGTCTATGTATGTACTAAAACAACACTCTTTACCTCAGCTTGGGCCCAAGTCATTGGTGTTGGAACGTAGTGGAAACAGCGACAACTGAACTCAGACCAGCCACCAGAACAAGCTGTCGACCTCTTGACCAGGTTTGCTGAGAACAAATACAGTTAATCGAGTAATGTGGAGTCTCCAGTTAAAGTCTCTATATGTAGAATTATTTCCATATGAAATCAGTTTATTAAAACGGCATAACATGATATAAGATAACATAAGTCAACATAACATAATAAAACATAACACAATGTTAAACCTGTAACAGTATAATATGAAATGTTCAATATAATGCAACAGAATACATAATATAAGTTATATAAACATTTTATCAGAACAACACACACTCACCTGCTTGGCCATTTTCGGGCATTTCCTCTGGAAGAGCTAGAAAGTTTGACACAGCAGTTATTGACCTGGATTGTTATTGTTTAACACATTCATCTGCAACACTTTCTGTTTATAAAACTCACCAGCAGCTTGAGTCAGAGCCATCATGGCACAAAAAAGGGCAGCCACAGTCAAAATCTTCATGGTGGAGATGGGGCTGGGTAATAAAACAATAATGATAATTATTAACAATTACCGTGACTTGTTGTTTTGAATGTTCTACATCATATTTGCATCACATTTAAAACCACAGCTAACTATCTGTTTTATTCAAGTTTCACTCAGGAGCAAAAATCTACCTTCAAACTTGAGAGAAATAATGAATTGACATTTATTGTGAAAATTATCAATATTGAATGATCTGAGATTTCTTTTTCCATTATGACGTTTTTTGCCATTTACCCAGCACTAGGTGGAGATAATGCCTATTTTAAAGTTGATGATTATCATCATCAAAGAGAGACAGACATGCTAGGAATATTTCAGAAACAGATTTAGTGACTGCAGTCCTCCTCCAAATTAGAAAGAACAAAATAGAGACAAAATTGATTGAGAGAGAAAAGTGAAGCAAACCTGCTGGAGGATTATCTTCTCTTCTTCTCAGTGTCAGCCTGAGTGTAGATGCTGAAAAAGACCTTCACCTTCACTTCTTTAAATTGAAAGGCATCCTAAAAATTGGGCAAATATGTAAATGCACCTATGTAGCTCTTTTCTGCCTCTGCATGGATTTAGTGACTCACTAAAAGACTTAAACATGCAGATTGAAGGACGTGGGGATTGAACCACCCACTCTCTGATGAAGATAACCTGCTCCACCTAAAATCTCCTAAATTATTAACGACTTGTTGTTTAAATCTGCAAAACCATGTACCGTAAGACACATGGGTTTCAGGTTCATGTCTATGTAAGGCAACACACATTTGTAGATTTTTATTGCATTCATTTGTCAGATACCATATATACAAAAACATGAATCTCATACAAAGAGAAGAGATGTATGTATTGCATGTATCGGTTCTAGCTTCTATCCAGGCAAAAGGGATCTGGAGGGCCCTATATTGAACCGCACTGAACCCCCCACCCCTTCGGTAATCACATCATAGACACATCATTCCAATCTTAAAAAATTTCTTTATTACCAGGATAGTTTTAGAAAGTGTATACAGCGCATGCACATACATTATAGTAAATTTAAAATGCAAACCCCCCACCACCATCCAAGATGTGCAAAATGATTATCCCTCAGCTGTTAGGGAAATCCTGCCTATGGTAACTTTTTTCACACCGACTTGCACATGCAGGAGAAATGCATTCATGCATGACGGTCTACAGCCTAGGTTTGGTCGGTTAAGTGTTTGTGTATGTTTTTCCTTTGAAGTCGCACCGTCATCTGATATTGTGATGAGGGCCAATGTCTTATTTTTTTGTTGATAAGATTTTCAACAATTTAATATTTGCACTAGATGGCTGGAAGGACAACCTATTTTATGTTGTATTGTAATTAAATGTGTTATTTAAAAAATAAACGTTTCCAATGAAACGTCCAATTATTAAAGTTTTAAGCATTACAGTAGGCCTGCTGTACTTGTTCTTCTCTTGACAAATGTTGGGCTGATGTTCACAACTCTGTTGTCACTTTATAGCATAAAAGAGTGTATGTCCTGGATTTGTGTTGAGCGGAGCATATATGAGGGGTGACTTTATATTGTTATTGTGCATCAGGTGATGTTACACAGTAACCCAAAAGTAATAGTGTAACTAGTTACTTTCAGCAATGAGTGATCTAGTAAAGTAAGGCATTACTTAATAAAAAAGCAACTAGTAATGTGTAATCCATTACCTTTTTTGATTAATTACCCCAACACTGAGCCTAACTGAGACACACGGTGGGGTGGTGATATCAATCTGCTGAAAGACAAGCCTGATGCCAGCCTTCCTGAATCCTGCTTGTTGTCTGTTGGGACAGCCTTTTCGTGGGTCTGCTTCAGCACTGAGGAGAAGTGCTTCTTTCGCACCACCATGTCTCTTTTCACCAGGCCCATGCAACTGGCAGAGTGCAAAATGCCTAGGGCTCCAACACCGTCTGGGCCGGCTCTGTCTGTTTGTCTGTTAATTGTTCACCACTGTCCACTCAGTGTTCATGAAAAGGAACATGGAAAGTTACTGTTGCTTTACTTCTAACAAGTTTCTAACCACCCCTGGTGACAGGGGCCCTATTAACGGGGTAATAATAATAAAATAATCCCCATGCTGGTGCTGTTTGTTGCATGAGATGAGCACGTCTTGTCAGTGGTGGGGGCTCATCTCTGCAGGAGACAAAGGTGCAACTGGATGCCCCGCTCGTTTCAGAGTGTTGGACATGTCCCTGCCACTGCAAAGTGTGTCATGGTGTGTTTAATCAATATTGACATCTGTCTTTATAATTTGATTGTTTTGGATCTGTTCCCAAGCTTTAGAGTGCAGCTTTGTGAGACCACATCCTTCTGCTCACCTACAAAGTCCTAAATTGTCAGGCACTATCACATGTTAAATTCAATTCAATTCAATTTTATTTATATAGCGCCAAATCACAACAACAGTTATCTCACAGCGCTTTTCATGAAAGAGCAGGTCTAGACCGTACTCTGTGATGATATTTACAGAAACCCAACAGTTCCCACCAAGAGCAAGCACTAGGCGACAGAGGCAAGGAAAAACTTCCTTTTAAGAGGCAGAAACCTCGAGCAGAACCATGGCTCAGGGTGGGCGGCCATCTGCCTCGACCGGTTGGGGGTGAAGAGAGAGAGAGAGAGAGAGAGAGAGAGAGAGAGAGAGAGAGAGAGAAAGAGAGTAAGGAGAGAGAGAGGGGAGGGAGGCAGCCTACACAATATACACACAGAGGTACAGACAGTGAAGGTGATGTTGCTATAGACTAAATGAAAAATGGTACAGATATTTATAATAGTGTTAATGGTAACAATCGTAATGTTAATGACTATAATAACAATAATAACAATAAGACTAGCAACAATAGTCGTTGCAGCAAAGGGTGTCGAGCAGGAACACGGGGGCAGCAGGTGACCCGCAACCACAGATCCAGACTCCACAGCTCTAAAGCTAGTTGTCTGACACAGCAGGTATGAGTTGAGGGAAGGCTGTAAGATTTATGTTTGGCACTTCGACTGCTGTCCGTGGGGCTAATCAGAGGCTACAGGTTTGCAATTGCAGAACAGATAATAAATAGGGATAAAAAAAGAACATTGACATAGTAATTGTTTTCTTAATGGTAACTTCACTGAGGAGGAACACTCATGTTTACATTAACAGACTGCTGTTGTTTAGATGCATTTATTTAAATTATAAAAGGTCAAGCTTTGAGAATAGGAGAGACATGCTGTGTTATAGATTGCAAAAAAGCAAATGCATGCTCAAAAAGTAGTTTTTTGTACTCAAAACTTTTATCTCCCAAAAGACAGCAGTGTCACACTGCTTCCTTTCAAATGTCTTATGTATTTAAATTGAATATTTAAGAATTTCTTACTCTGGAGGACCAGTGCCACCAATGAGCACCAGTTAATGGCACTAGTGAGTCAAACTACATTCTGACACACAACAGGAAGAACCACTGTGTGCAAATTTAAGATGATGTAGCATTCATAATATTTCTTCTTCTGTCTTGACGTGAAAGATAAATAACCTAATATTTTGTGGTATAGAAATACTACAAAATGTAGAGTGTACAGTATTATTCGGCGTAATAGTAACTCTTCTTTGAGATGCAATATACCATCATGGCCTAAAATATGGTGCCAACCTGCATGTCTGTCACATAATTCACTACTTCTCCCAGAGAATCCTCACAATTACAAATGCTTTGGTATTCACATGTGTATTTGTTTGCATTGAAAAAACAAAACAAAATGCCAAATCTGAGACATTCCACACAGAACACCAAAAACAAGACAACATTTTTACCACCTTTTTTAAATCTTCAGAAATAATTATATTTCAAGCATGTGATGCTCCTTTAAATCATATTTAAACTCACCTTAGTCATTTACAGATGCTGGAAATATAGAAATCACACTTACAACCAGTGAAAATGGAGAAAGGTTGACTCAACCTTTGTATTGTACCACACTGAGCATGGACAAAAGAAAGAACACAAAAGAGTGGTCTGAGGATTTGAGAACCACAATTTTGGAAAAGCATGGACAATCTCAAGGCTACAAGTCCATCTCCAGAGATTTTAATGTTCCTTTGTCCACTGTGCACAAAACTGCGAAACGTTTTACAGACCAAAGCACTGTAATCTCCCAGGACGTCAACAAAAGAGAAAATTGATGAAAGATTGCGATGGATTGCTTGAATAATGAACATTTATCAACTTCCAAATACATTCAGGCTGACCTGCAGCAACTTATCTTGTCATCTCTTAAAAAACAGCACTGACCACAGACACAAAAAACATACACAGAAACATCACACACGTTACACTCAGTAACTTGCTCTTTGTCACTGAGTAATGTGCCTTTATTGTCTTTCTACTAACCAACGCAAATTGTATGATGATCAATGTAATTAAAAAGCATTCAGCAGCTGTATGCAGTCATTCAGGTACAGATAGATTGAAATCAAAAATAGCTTTGTCTTAAATCATCCCTGTTACTCCCTAATAATCACTGTCTAAAACCGGTAACCAGCAAGTTTATACTGAGGATATGTAGTTAAGCTTTGTTACATCTTATATAACCATTATAACCTTTTCCCCTAGTGTTTAGTCTCGCTTTAATTGTCTTTATCCGAATGTCGATATTGTAGAGAGAGAGATTAAAGGGAAATATGTGCAACGTATTTTTCTTTATTCCAAAAGAAAGTTAACACCTTTGGGGTGACTTCCCCTGAGATCCACTCCCAAATTGACGTCACCACGGCCTAACGGAGGCAGATAAAAGGGCCTTTTTGTCTTTTGTCTGTCTCTTCTCTTCTAAAAAAAAGCTCTCTTGAAACTAAACGTATACACTCTCGTTAACTTCCTTTACTTTTGAAATTCCGATCTTTTTTTCCATTTCGTACTTAAATTTTCTTCAGACGAGCTGAGAAAGAACCTTGAATCCCAATTTTCTTAGCTGGAGATTTGATTTCTGATTGTTCTTTGGAGCTGCCTGGGTGAAACTTTCCCCAGATCTGTTTAATCTCAGCAACATTAAATAGCCTATATTCCCGGGGCCTCCCGAGTTTATTTGATTTTGATGTTGCAACCTCATCCGACCGTTTTGAACAACTTTGGACCAGAAACTCAGAAGCCTTCATTTATGGCCTTGAATAAATGAAACCACGGCTCTGACGACAGAACCCTGAGTGGGTTCCGCTATAGTGACAGCAAACGAACTGAGATCAGAGCAAAAGCCTTGGCTGACAGCCCGTTGCTGCAAGCGCTTCCCACAAAGGACTCCGGAACAAATCCACCGGTTTCAAACTCAACTCGAAAACGCCACTGGGGTCGGGCCAGAACCGACTCCACGAGCCAACCGGCAGTCGAGCCTTGTTACGGGACCTGTGGCAACTGTAGGGCAAAACAAACCACACTCTGTGACTCGTTGGTGTTCTGTAGTTGGCTCTATCCACATTTAATAAAACCCTAGATTAGTCAAACTAAATCTGCGACATAATTTCGGTCATTCGTTCCCTCATACTCGTAGAATTCTCTCCCTCTACAATAGAAACTGAAATTCAATCGAGCCTTACAAAGGCCACCCTGTTCATTACCTCCTGGTTGTCATGTTGACTGTTGTCCCTGTAATATCACCACATTTACCCACGATTGTACTCTCTTTTGTTAGTTAATAAATTCACCTTGAGCACAGTGATGTTGTGTGTGTGTGTTATTAAGAATCTAGAGTCCCTAAACATAAAACTCGTCCTAAGATTCGAGACTGACTGATTGAAAATTACACGTAGCCTTGACCTGCTACAAAATGCAGCACTAAGATCAAATAAAACCAGTACAAAGACAAGTCCTTTGTCTGATGCAATTAGCAGGTCATCAGTAATTTTGACCAGTGTTGTCTCTGTGCTATGATGAACTCTAAATCCTCACATGAACTACTGTTATATAGAAAGTCACACAACTGTGTGGCAATTGCTTTAAAAAGAAAGATAGATATGGCTCTATATTTGGCTAAAAACCCTGGATCAAGAGTGGGCTTTTAAAGAAGAGGTTTAATTACAGCTACTTTAAAGTACTGTGGTACATAGCCTGTTAATAAAAAAGACAGATTGATCATATAGTAAAGAAGTGCTGCATAACGGTAAAACTTCTTTAAGCAGGCCAGTCTGGATGGGGTATAAGACACAGTTTGCCTTTCATTGTGGCCAGCCTGAGCCACACCTGTGCAATGCCCATGCTGTCTGATCAGCATCTTGATATGCCACACCAGTGAGGTGGATGATTTTGACAGATTTGTGAACAATATTTGAGAGAAATAGGCCTTTTGTGTACATAGAGAAAGTCTTAGATCTTTGAGTTCAAGGTATGATGAATGGAGGCAAAAAGTGTTGCGTTTATAATTTTGTTCAGTGTATGTGAATCTGTTAAGTCAGGAGGAAACACAAAACTACACAAAACATGCAAAGGGTAGACACGTGTCCTGCAGAATAGGCCAGTATCTTAAAACTTAGCAGAATAAACAGTCTACAGTTTAAGTTGAACCTGGTATTTGTAATTGTTATGCAATATGCAAAACCTTCTTCTTCTGTGGCTGTCACTTGTGGTATATGTACCAGAGGCAATGACATATACATTATTGGTAACTGATACCCATGGCTATATGTAGATAAGATGAAGACTCTGATGACATTGAAATTCCTCAACTTCTGTTTTAATGTTGATTTCATAAGTTTCTACTTCTTAAAAATGTTGTGGGGCAATGACATTCCAGGGTTGGTGATGACTTGATTGTCTGACTATGTCTACAAGTCAGGTCAGGTTTTCACTTTCTCCTCTCACTCCTCTAGTTCCTCTAGTGTTATCAACAATCATCATTGATGCACAAGTTGGAACCCTGTTCTTTTGAGCCTATATTATCTTATATTTGTGCAAATGGACACAATGGTGTGTCAAATTAGATATTGTCAGTTCCTGTTTGCAGTGAACCCATAAACATCCTAACAACTGTAACTAGAAAACTTTTATTCAGAAGAAAACAGAAAAACATAAAGAATCATAGGCAGGTTCTGAAGTTAAAAGGGGTTTATTTAAATGGCTTCATGCATGTTTATTCATGATGGATGCTTTAAATAATTAATTAAAGGTTACATTGAGGAAAAAGAGAGAAACACTGTGTTACAGTTAGCAGAAAAAAAGCAAATGCATGTTCTAAAAGGTTCTTTTTTTGTGTGATCTTAAATCTCCCCAAAGACAGGTAGCACTGTCACACTGTTTCCTTTCAAATATATCTTCCTGGAGGAATGAAATGTTTGCTTTTAGATATATATCCCCAGGCTGTAATATTAGTTTCATGACAGGCTTGTTCCAGTGCTTGAGCGTTTTATTCTTGTACAAAGAAATATCATTTTACAGATTATACTGTATGCAAGAATGTTCCAGAAGCAGTCTTTTCATAACACATTCAGTCTGCTCTTTTTAAAGGCACAAGGCCTAAGAGACAATCCAGCTCCAGTTTATGTCACTTGTCGCTTCATTCTTTAAGTGGCGTTAAAGCAATAGAGATATGAAATGAGATATAGAGACTTCAGCTTGTATGTGAGGCTCATGGTAGAAAGACGGAAGCCTACATGACTCTGTTACAGCACAGGAATCATCAGATCTTCTTGGCACAGACAGACGGTTTTCGAAAGTTGCACTGATAGTCATCCCAGCACTTTTGATCTGCAGGTACCAAGAAAAGGGAGTGAATTTGTGAACATTATGGTGACTGATATTACATGCAAGTTATTGCCGAACTAATATAATATCAGTGTGGCAAGAGATTTCATATAAACAAAGATTATCTGATTCACAAATACATTGTTTACTAGGGACACAGTATGCTATTTATCTGAGCTGTAAGTTATATGGAATTTTAATTGTAAAATTAGCTTTCATCACTTCTAATAATTCACATCACTTCTACATAAACCACTATGTTGTTTTACCTCCATGATTGATTTGCAAACAGTTCTGCCTGCCGCCGTGATTATTAGGCTCTCCACCACACCAGTTCAAGTAGTTAAAAGGTGTACCATCAATCCAGAACCACTGGTTCTCCTGGAAGACAGAAGAGAAATGGATATTAAGTGAACTTAAAAGTATTTATTATCAGTTTTATTTAAGATGAAATAAGTCTCCCCAGGGATTGCAGTTGCAGCACCACAAGGACATAAATAAATACAGGTAATTAGAAAGATCCAAAGATGGAGAATTGGAAAAGGTAGGTTGTACAAAGGTAAAATAATAATAATAATAGGAAGTACAGAATACACATTTTTTAAAATAATAAGAGAATTAAAAATAGACAGCTATATAAGATCCGTTTAATTCAAAATGACACGGCAAGCTATATGCACACAGTACCCATGATGCACTTTGTGAAAGCAGTACTGTAAATAAGTGTCTGAACCGAAATGACATAGTGGTGTGATCAGTCGTCAATAGAATATGATATGATACCATCAACAGTGAATACAGTAGGACAGCAGTATATTACATGATTTTGCCATGATACTAACAGTATGACATGTTAACATATTATAGTATGAAATATAACATATAAAGTAAAATGTAGTAATATACTTTAACATGATATATAGTACAGGAATAAAGTGAGAGAACATGGTATAAAGTATAGTTAATAAATATAGTATGATTTAAAAAAACAAACAAATCATAAATATTATATGTTTTTGATATTTACAGCTTGTACATGATGATTAAAATACCTCTTGTGCATCCGAGCCTCCAATCCATGTTTCTTTGTTCTCATAACTTGCGCTCATGATCAGCCTCTGAATCTCATGGTACTCCAGCAGGTTGTGAACGGACGCAAGGTTTCCACCCATGGACTCACAGTTTTTCTACAGTGGAGATAAATACGAGAGAGAGAGAGAAATTGCAAATTAACCAAATGTCTATGTATGTGCAAACAAAATAAACATATTGTAGAAGCCTTCTGAACTAAAACAAAGTCTCCCTCTTTACCTCAGCTTTGGCCCAAGTCATGGGTTTTGGAACGTAGTGGAAACAGCGACCGCTGAACTCAGACCAACCACCAGAACAAGCTGTCGACCTCTTGACCAGGTGACTCTTTGCTGAGAACAAGTAGAGTTTGGTGAGTAATGTGGAGTCTCTAAAGTCTCTATATGTAGATATGAAATCAACTTATTTTAATGGCATGACACTGTAACATAACAACATAAAATAAAATGTCACGATATAACAATTATGACATAAATGACATATCAGCACAAAATAACATAACATGAAACAGTATAACATGACTTTTTAAAACATAATACAAGACGACGTAATGTAAGTTACAATAAACATTTTATCCTCCAATGCTTTTAATTTATACAACATGTAAGTCATCAGCAGAGCATCAGACCAACACACACTGACCTTGTTGGGCATTTTCGGGGTTTGCCTCTGGAAAAGCTAGAAAGTTTGACGCAGCAGTTATCGACCTGGATTGTTATTGTACAACACATTCATCTGTAACACTTTCTGTTTATAAAACTGACCAGCAGCTCGAGTCAGAGCCATCATGGCACAAACAAGTGCAGACACAGTCAGCATCTTCATGATGGAGATGATGAGATGATGATAACCTTTGCTACAGAGAGAAAAACTCAGGTTATTGATACTTCTGTAGAACAGACGACCTATGTCCACTGTCAGTCCAGTAAAGGAAAGTCAGAAGTTTGTAGCTGCAGAATTACCTTCTCTTCTTCCTTCTCAGCGTCTGTAGCTTCAGCTGTCTGATGTGGAAACACGGATGAAGAGACACACCAGCCCTTATAAACAGATACTTATCTTGTCATCTCTCACAAATTAGGGAACTGAGCACAGACACGAAAACATACACAGAAACATTATCAAACACAATATTGTCAGAAACATAAATTAAAACTATATTACGATCAGTTAAGTAATAGCCATAGGTCAAACCTAACCACATCACATGATCCATCCAAGAACAGAAAGCTTGACCGGCATAGCAACCTTAACTAAGGTGGACTTAGTGATAATACTTTTATTATAAACAAGACTAAACAAACTCAACTTATATTTAAAATAGATAAACCTTTTCATTTTTGTCATTATTAACATATTTCATATTACACTCTTCATTTTGCACCAGTTTAACCCCTTGTGAGAGTCCACAAAGCAGTTCCGCTCTTGGGTAACACAGAATTGCACAACACATATCGAGCACCTGTTCCTCACAATGCCTTTGCATCCTGGCATTTTGCAGGAGCTAACTCAACTAACTGCCCAGCTCACTGTCCTGCTCTCAAAGAAAAAGTTGGCTTGCATGTTCTATAAATAAAATCAACATATATAAGCAGAGTTTACAGGGTACAACAATTAAAGTGCAGTAGGTTGAAGGTACGCAGTTCACCTCCATATTCGCATATAGTTGCCATATGGCAACAAATCAATTTTAGAATTTTACCAAAAAACAAATCCTAATTGGTTTAAATTAGGAAATTCTTCTTAAATATTGAAAAATGTGTCTATTTTAGCTGACCTCAGATCATGAACTGTGCAGTGTCATAGATCGGTAGGAAAAGGGTGAAAAGACCCATTTTCACCAATAAAAAGCAAGGATTTTGAAGCATTTCCTATTATTGCAATAGAGAGAAAGTAATTGTTGCCATATGGCAATAGAGGGTTAAGACAAAGGAAAAGGGAGCGCGCTATATTAATGTAATTTCGAAGAAGTTTCAAATAATAGGGAAACAAATGGGAGAAGTGTCATATATGTATAGGCTATAAACTGTGAAATTCATTAAGAAATGATGGTAAATGAGGAAACCTACATAAAACATTTAAAAAAGGCCTAGTTCCAGCTGTGTAGAGCTTTGAGTCATTGCAAGTGCCCTATTAAGAGTGAAACAATAATGCAATATACAAAGACCAAAACTTAAACCTGTGCTCAATGTCTGTATCTGGACAAAATTTAAAAGAGAAGTTGAGTAATTATTTCAGCAGTTATTGATCATCACTTGTAGTCAGTTTACTTAATGTCAAATCATTATTACCAAACAAAAAAGAAGCTGATCAGGCAGCAATGTCACTATTTGTTTAAACTGAACAGACAAATATTATAATATATTTGGATGATACAATCTTTATCACTTTCAGATATGTTTTGGTTTCATATAGTCACCAGTATCATATAAAACACAACAATACAGAAGAAAAAACACAGACACAAAACAACACAAGGATTCAAGACCTGTCTAGAACAATAGAAAGCTCTGTGGGCAGAGAAGTGCCCTGCAACACATGCATTCAAAACAGAAGTTGGGGAATTATTGCATCAGAGTAAGTGTGCTTCCTCTGCCACAGAAATATCACTGTCACTGAAGAAGATGTTGCATAATGCAGAATCATCCATGAAAGTCTTCTTTGCGTGTATTACTGAACAAAAGAAAAGTAGGGGGGGGGGGGGGGGCTCTAAACCCAGTCAGTGTACCAGTTTGTGTCTTACATTACTCCTGCTGTTTTCTTTTCATTTATTTCACTTCATTTGACAGGGACGGTGCTCATTAATCAACAGCAACGTAACTGTAAATGAGCCAGAGTTAGCTCAACAGGTTAATTTTCATATGTCCATCAGTTATTAAAATGGCAACCTAAAATAAAGAATTTAAATGAAATTTCAAGTAAAATAAAATGACTGATTACAGTCAGCACTTAAAAGCAATATATATCAAATAAAGAGAATGATACAGTTTTGTGGTACCTGTTGTGACCTGAGCTCTCTGCACAACAAATGTCTTCAGTGGAAGCGGAGCAGTGTTGTGTAATATCTTATAAACTAGACAAAATGTACTACTGTAATAAGCTCTGTTAAAAAATAAAAATCTTGACCTTACTAATTTGTGAACCCTGGTTTAATGCTGGAATTAGAGACAGCCCTGCGATGGACTGGTGACCTGTCCAGGGTGTACTCCACCTTTCACCCGATGTAAGCTGGGATTGGCTCCAGCCGGATAAGCGGTTGACGATGGATGGATGGTATATCACAACATAATTTACAGTCAAATCATAAGACTAATAAATTTTTTTCCTCCATACTTTTGCAGTGTTTGCAGTGTTTGTGTCTGTTGCCATAACTACACATTTGCAATGATACTGGAGTGAACTGTAAATGTTTCCTGCATACAGACCAGCACATCACTACAGTTTCCTGTCAGACCAACCCAGAAAAAAAAGATATTATTGATATTGTTTATCTGTGAGCTCACAGCAAGAGCACACAGTTTTTTGATCATGGAAGAGATCCTTAAAAATGATATCTATTTATCTGTTTGAACAGAAGAACATTTGTGTGACAGTCCTTCATATTTATTTACATTTGAAAAAACGCCCCCTTGTTCTGTTGGTTGAACTTCATGACAAAGCTTTGCAGCATTGATGCTATCCCATCTTCTGTCAGTGAAACACATAACATTAACTTTTAAAGTCTCCAACAAGAGAACTAAAGTTCCGTCTTTAGATTGTTTGGATAGTATGGATACATTTATGAACTGATCTCACTTTTGTCATTAATATAGCCTCTTTTATTTACACAACAAGTACATTACTGTCCCATGCAAAAATAAAGTATTTTCTGATTTACCTCCATGATTTATTTGTAAAAAGTGCTGGCCCCTAAGGTTATTTGGCTCTCCTTTGCACCAGTATGAAAAGGTGAAAGGCGTACCATCACTCCAGAACCAAAAACCCTCCTAGAAAACACAAATCAGAATTGAATAGATTTATAAATAACAATATAAATTGAATCAAACATTGTAAACATACCCTAAAGACCATAAAGCTTTGGCAAAACATTGTCATTACAAATTCTACTTTAAATTCTTGGAAGAGGAACAAAAGCATCTGTCATTTCAGCAGGTCTGTTTACGTTAAAGTAACAAAACCCTTTAATGGCTCTAAAAATTATTTAAAAGTCATGTGACGTTGTTACAGAGCGACAAAGCCCGCATAGGGAGGAGATCACATATCACAGCCTTCCTGAGCAAATAGATGTCAAACTATTATTTCTATTTATTATTTCTATCTTTTTGTAACAATGAATGATATACCTGGGCAGCGTCAGAGGCTCCGAGCCAAGTCTGTGGATTCCCATGAGTTTTATCTGCTATCAGCCTTTGAATCTGATGATACTCCTCAGCTCTACGTACAGATGCAAGGTGTGCACCTAAGGACAGACAGTTTCTCTACAGTGGAGACAAACAGACAAAGATGGGGTAGAAAAACAACATAAGAGGACACCAAAGCGAGAGGAAGATGCAAAGTTACCAAGTGTGCAAGTCCATACAAACAGAACAAACTCAACTTAGAAGCACTCTGCATCAAACCCAAATCATATCATACCTCAGCTTCAGCCCAAGTCATGGTTCGTGGAACGAAGAGGAAACAGCGATCGCTGATCTTAGTCCAACCACTGGGACAAGATGTTGACCTCTCCAAGATATGATGCTCTCCTGATCAAGTCAAAAGAAGACAAGTGGGTCAAGTTGAGTCTCCAGACAAAGTTTACAAAACACAGTGAAGAAATATGTATTCACCTTCTTGAATTATTGCCACTTCCCCACCTTCATCCTTTGCTTCTGAAAGAGCTGAACAGTTAAACACACCAGTTAGTGATTATGTCCATCATGTTGCTGTGTATTTTTCCTCACAAACAAACTCAGTCAGAACACACACACATGTTGTAAACAGCGACTCTCACCAGCAGCTCTGGTCAGCGTGATCACGGCACAAAGAAGTGCAGACAGAATCAGCGTCTTCATGGTGGAGGTGATGCTGATTTAAAAGTTGATGATTACCTTCAACAAAGAGAGACAGACGTGTTAGTAATACTTCAGAAACAGAAGTAATGACCGCAGGCCTCCTACAAATAAGTGACAACAAGATAGAAAACAAAAACATGGAGAGAGAAAAGTGAAGCAAACCTGCTGGAGGATTATCTTCTTCTTCTTCTCAGTGTCAGCCTGAGTGTAGATGCTGAGAAAGACTTATATACAGTAAGCTGACCATCCAATAATCACTAAATATGTTTACACAAGTACGTCTGTACATTATACATACATGCTCCACCTTAGTTGATGGTGGATTATAAAAGAGATGCCTAAATAATTAACTTAACAGCTGTTGGCATCAGCTGTTTACATCTTTGTTTCAAGTGAGTACAGTGAGAGGGTTAACACGACAGTCGCCTGAAAGCTCTACAGTTAGATATTAATATCACTAGATTCAGCTGGATATTTCAGTTTGTCTTCTTAAATTATGACAACTTCAAACTGATAGTCATCCTATCACTTTGGAGCACAAGCAACATGCAGACTGAAGGACGTGGGGATTGAACCACCCACCCTGTGACTGGTAGACATGGACAACCTGCCCCTCACAGTTTAACTCTGCAAAAGCATGTAGCATAAAACATGCGGGTTTTAGGTTCATATTGATGTAAAACAGTGGTACTCCAAAAAAGTTTAAGCTCCCCGACTCCATGAAAAGTGGAATCAATCATTAACAACACAGGTGATAGCAAAACAGCTTTACTTGCTACAGAACCCTTTTTTTGTTTATGCCACCACATGAATCATATTATTCCAACTTTGGGTCTGTTCAACATCCGTGCCCCTCTAGCAGTGGTACTGTGGCCCTTAAGGGGGACCCAATCCCCAGTTTGAGAACCACTGATACAAGGTAACAGGCAATAGTTTAGTTTTATTACATTTATTTGTCAGGCAGCAAGTACAAAACATGTATTTAATACAAAGAGAAGAGATGTATGTGTTAAAATTTATATGTATCAGCTCGCAGGTCCTATAGCTACTTCTCGTCTGCAGGCCCTGGGCAGATACATGTTTGACATCACATATTAATTCAACTCAGTTCAATTCAATTTTATTTATATAGTGCCAAATCACAACAACAGTTATCTCACAGCGCTTTATTAGCTATTTGCAATTCCTAGTTGCAGTGTACTAGATTATGTCTACACTGTAGAATATGTTACAAAAAAAGGCAAGTTCTGGAGTCTAAAAGGAATGTCTTTTAATCCGGGGGCGGATTGGCCATCGGGAATTTCGGGAACAATCCTTAACCCAGCAAGCCCAGGCTGCTTGTTAGCCGTTTGGCTCACACAATGTGTTCTGTAGTTACAAGATACACAATTCTCCCCAGCGTCACTGTCGCCTGCCGTGCCTAATGTGTTTGGCACACATTTGATGCCATATATCACACATGTAAAACGCACAACACAGCCTGTCACACACCTCTGGATGCAGGAGGAGGGACTGCGTCGGTGATGCCATGGTCACGCACGAGCCCAGAGCCGGGCTCTGCCAGGGGGCTGGCGTGCGTAATGTGTGGAGCATTGATAGGATAACACTACAAGCAGGGTTGTGTGTAGTGTTATCCTGTCCGCTTGAAGCGTAATGACCGCCTCAAGGGCTCATTTGACACAGCCTGGCTTCTGTGAACCAAGGGGGAACCCCTGGACGCACAGAAGGACCGTGCCATTGATGCCGTGATGGAAGACACCGTTCTTCTTGTTTTCCCGCTGGAAAGCTCAGAGCTGAAGAAAAATGGGAGCCGAAGGCTGGGTCTCACCGTTGTATATATGCAGCGTGCAGACCTAGAAGAGGCCCACGCTGTGTGTGGGCGTAGACTAAATTTCTCAGTGCCGGAAGGGGTAAACCCAATAGCGATAGCCTTAGAGGGCGAAGCCTATACGAAATAGAACTGCTCGTGTCCCCCCTCAAAATTGAATGTTTTAGATTTGCCCAGTCTTACAGACACACAAACAGCTTCCGCTGCAGCTGACCTGCTGGTCGGCCTGCCCGAGAGTGTGGAAATCCAGGACAGTGAAGGCACCAAAGTAAAGGGACTGACTGAGTTAATGCCATGTTTTTTAAAATAAAAACATGGCAATACAATTTGAAAATAATTCAAACGGGGAGATGACAATGTGGAGAAAGAAAAATTTCAGGCTGTTTTGTGTCATGAAAGTTTTGTTTATCTTTTACAGTGATTATACAACATTTGTGATATTCTTCTTTGCTGTTTTTGACTTTTGTTGAATCTACATGTTCTCCTGAAAATGAAGCTTGATGGTAGTTGAGCTTCCTTACAGCAGGGGGCAGAGTTCTAATAAATGTTCAGCAGTGAACCAGTGATGGCAGAAATATGAAGGGATGCATAGGAAGAAGAGGGGGACAGCAGACATCTCCATACTTGTGAATATAATTTATTTTTATATTTTGCTTTATTCGCTGCTTCAGACTGTTGTTAAAATAGGTTCTCAACAGATAAGTAAAATATAAGGAAGCTAATGCACTGTGGTTGAACTTTAAACTCTTTAACCAGGTAATTGAATGTTTCTGTTTGTGGGGAAACCAAATCAGATACAAATTATTTCTCAATGCTGAGAATTGTTTTAATGTTTTAAAACGTTGCAATTCCGAGGGGATCACATTTTTAATGAAAGTATTTAGTCACTTTGTAACACTATTGCAAATAGATTATATCAGAATAAACACCCCCTGATGTATAGTCTTTTTTTCAAGACTGCCAATTGATCCTGGTCCCATAGTGTTGTTAGCAGAATTTATTTTCCTTTTTCCAGAGTCAATCCGGTAATTCTTTCATGAATAATGAGGAAACATCAAAACTGTTCTAATCTTTTAAAGGAAATGCTACTGCCAAATCTAACAAAACATTGATGAATCTAAACATTCTTCAGGTTATTTATAATCACTGATGACTCAGCAGGCAGAAATCGGCGTAACACGTTAGACATTTTAACCTGCAAAAAAGGAGAAGCTGAGACTGTTTTCACCCTGCTCTTTGCTAATAATAGTGTTGGCTTTTCTCAATTCTGTGCATTTTGCCAACCTCAGTTTCTTAACTCACAGTTACTAAATAAGTTTTCACAGTCACACTCTCTTTACGCGCGTGTTTGCGTAACACTTTTCCGACCTCACTTTTGACTTGAACGCCAGTTCATGAGGATGCAGAGATGGCAGAGCTGCTAAAGATGTCTTTCGAGGGGTGGAGGTATTATTTGATATTATTTTGCGAAAAGAGAGCGATACCTTCTAGTGGCGAGGACTGAGAAGCAACAGGTTGTCTGACAAACGATTTGAGAGACTCCTGTCCATGAGGTATAACCACTCTTTCATAAGCTGGCACGTGCACCCAAAAGGGGCTTCAGCACCTGCCCTTTTTCTTCCTCAAGAGAAAGTTTTTTCTGGGATGCTTGTTTTTTTTTGTTTGTTTGTTTTTTAATAAATGAATATACAGTATATTTATTCCTGTTTGCAACAGATTCCCTGTCAAACAAATATATTTATTGGGCAAAAAAATCTAAATAGGCTATCAGGTCGAAAGATGAGACTTTGGAGTTCCGATGCCCTCTCACTCTCTCTCTCTCTCTCTCTCGCTCGCTCGCTCGCTCCGCTTCTCCACGCGCAACCAGAGCGCAGCACACAGACAGTCAGCAGCCCCTCCAGCTTCTCTCCCAGCACTGTTTTTCTTGGCTTGTGTGGAGGTGAGTGGTGTAGAACAAAAGACTAAACTACCAGTGCCTCCAGTTTACCGCTAATTAAACAAAATACAATATAGGCCAAGGCCTTGCTAACGCATGAGTCATGAGCTGAGCTTATGTAATAAGTTAGCTGAAGTTTAGCTAAGGCAATATCTCATGGCCATACAACCTAATGTACTGATGGAGACACTACAGGTGAATACGGTAACATTTGTGTCTAATAACGTCATCACAATCGCCACATTGATATGCAAATTAGGCACAGTTAATGACTTACATCAAGAGTATTTTCCTCTGAAATGTGCTGTGTAAATATGCAGATTAGCATGTTTTGGTTAATATAGAATAAATCTACAGATGCAAATAGACCGAGGACATTAGGCTTAAAATCAACACCGTCTAAAGGTGTATTCTTGAAATTTTATTTCCATTAGAGTAAAAGAAGACATGAAGCAAAATAGACCAAAGTCTACCACTCTCCACTATGAAAAAAGTGCCTTAAAGAGTAATTTCATAGTTTTGATGGTAGGCTAATAACGCTCCATTCTATTAGTTTGTTGTATGGTTATAGATCCTTATATAATACAGACAGCCCTCCCTCAAATGTGAAACTAAGTCCCCCGTTGTTATCCTTTCAGTGATGTTTGAAAACTAGCTGACCCATAAGAAAGTAATCTTGAAGAGTTCCCTAACCTCTTCCTGTTTTGTCTTAATTCATCCCTGTTACTCCCTAGTAATCACTGTCTGTTCAGTATTAACTAATGCTTTAGTTAAAAGTTTCCATCTACAGTTAATAAACCCCTAGAGTAGTCAAACTAAATTGTTCCCTCATACTCGTAGAATTCTCTCCCTCTACAATAGAAAATGAAATTCAATCGAGCCTTACAAAGGCCACCCTGTTCATTACCTCCTGGTTGTCATGTTGACTGTTGTCCCTGTAATATCACCACATTTACCCACGATTGTACTCTCTTTTGTTAGTTAATAAATTCACCTTGAGCACAGTGATGTTGTGTGTGTGTGTTATTAAGAATCTAGAGTCCCTAAACATAAAACTCGTCCTAAGATTCGAGACTGACTGATTGAAAATTACACGTAGCCTTGACCTGCTACAAAATGCAGCACTAAGATCAAATAAAACCAGTACAGAGACAAGTCCTTTGTCTGATGCAATTAGCAGGTCATGAGTAATTTTGACCAGTGTTGTCTCTGTGCTATGATGAACTCTAAATCCTCACATGAACTACTGTTATGTAGAAAGTCACACAACTGTTTGGCAATTGCTTTAAAAAGAAAGATAGATATGGCTCTATAGTTGGCTAAAAACCCTGGATCAAGAGTGGGCTTTTAAAGAAGAGGTTTAATTACAGCTACTTTAAAGTACTGTGGTACATAGCCTGTTAATAAAAAAGACAGATTGATCATATAGTAAAGAAGTGCTGCATAACGGTAAAACTTCTTTAAGCAGGCCAGTCTGGATGGGGTATAAGACACAGTTTGCCTTTCATTGTGGCCAGCCTGAGCCACACCTGTGCAATGCCCATGCTGTCTGATCAGCATCTTGATATGCCACACCAGTGAGGTGGATGATTTTGACAGATTTGTGAACAATATTTGATACACAAAACATGCAAAGGGCAGACACGTGTCCTGCAGAATAGGCCAGTATCTTAAAACTTAGCAGAATAAACAGTCTACAGTTTAAGTTGAACCTGGTATTTGTAATGTTTTAAAATTAATATCACATTAATAAAACTGCAGAGTCTTGTAAAACACATATTGGTAAATTGACTGGGTTTAGGGGATGGTTCAGTGTAAAATACAAGAAAAAAGACTATAAGGATGAATCTGCAATATGCAAAACCTTCTTCTTCTGTGGCTGTCACTTGTGGTATATGTACCAGAGGCAATGACATATACATTATTGGTAACTGATACCCATGACTATATGTAGATAAGATGAAGACTCTGATGACATTGAAATTCCTCAACTTCTGTTTTAATGTTGATTTCATAAGTTTCTACTTCTTAAAAATGTTGTGGGGCAATGACATTCCAGGGTTGGTGATGACTTGATTGTCTGACTATGTCTACAAGTCAGGTCAGGTTTTCACTTTCTCCTCTCACTCCTCTAGTTCCTCTAGTGTTATCAACAATCATCATTGATGCACAAGTTGGAACCCTGTTCTTTTGAGCCTATATTATCTTATATTTGTGCAAATGGACACCCTTAAGTGTGTCAAATTAGATATTGTCAGTTCCTGTTTGCAGTGAACCCATAAACATCCTAACAACTGTAACTAGAAAACTTTTATTCAGAAGAAAACAGAAAAACATAAAGATTCATAGGCAGGTTCTGAAGTTAAAAGGGGTTTATTTAAATGGCTTCATGCATGTTTATTCATGATGGATGCTTTAATTAATTAATTAAAGGTTACATTTTGAGGAAAAAGAGAGAAACACTGTGTTACAGTTAGCAGAAAAAAAGCAAATGCATGTTCTAAAAGGTTCTTTTTTTGTGTGATCTTAAATCTCCCCAAAGACAGGTAGCACTGTCACACTGTTTCCTTTCAAATATATCTTCCTGGAGGAATGAAATGTTTGCTTTTAGATATATACCCCCAGGCTGTAATATTAGATTCATGACAGGCTTGTTCCAGTGCTTGAGCGTTTTATTCTTGTACAAAGAAATATCATTTTACAGATTATACTGTATGCAAGAATGTTCCAGAAGCAGTCTTTTCATAACACATTCAGTCTGCTCTTTTTAAAGGCACAAGGCCTAAGAGACAATCCAGCTCCAGTTTATGTCACTTGTCGCTTCGTTCTTTAAGTGGCGTTAAAGCAATAGAGATATGAAATGAGATATAGAGACTTCAGCTTGTATGTGAGGCTCATGGTAGAAAGACGGAAGCCTACATGACTCTGTTACAGCACAGGAATCATCAGATCTTCTTGGCACAGACAGACGGTTTTCGAAAGTCGCACTGATAGTCATCCCAGCACTTTTGATCTGCAGGTACCAAGAAAAGGGAGTGAATTTGTGAACATTATGGTGACTGATATTACATGCAAGTTATTGCCGAACTAATATAATATCAGTGTGGCAAGAGATTTCATATAAACAAAGATTATCTAATTCACAAATACATTGTTTACTAGGGACACAGTATGCTTTTTATCTGAGCCGTAAGTTATATGGAATTTTAATTAAAATTAGCTTTCATCACTTCTAATAATTCACATCACTTCTACATAAACCACTATGTTGTTTTACCTCCATGATTGATTTGCAAACAGTTCTGCCTGCCGCCCAGATTATTAGGCTCTCCACCACACCAGTTCAAGTAGTTAAAAGGTGTACCATCAATCCAGAACCACTGGTTCTCCTGGAAGACAGAAGAGAAATGGATATTACGTGAACTTAAAAGCATTTATTATCAGTTTTATTTAAGATGAAATAAGTCTCCCCAGCGATTGCAGTTGCAGCACCACAAGGACATAAATAAATACAGGTAATTAGAAAGATCCAAAGATGGAGAATTGGAAAAGGTAGGTTGTACAAAGGTTAGAATTAAGTGTCTGAACCGAAATGACATAGTGGTGTGATCAGTCGTCAGTAGAATATGATATGATACCATCAACAGTGAATACAGTAGGACAGCAGTATATTACATGATTTTGCCATGATACTAACAGTATGACATGTTAACATATTATAGTATGAAATATAACATATAAAGTAAAATGTAGTAATATACTTTAACATGATATATAGTACAGGAATAAAGTGAGAGAACATGGTATAAAATATAGTTAATAAATATAGTGTGATTTAAAAACAAATCAAAAATATTATATGTTTTTGATATTTACAGCTTGTACATGATGATTAAAATACCTCTTGTGCATCCGAGCCTCCAATCCACGTTACTGTGTAATCATAACTTGCGCTCATGATCAGCCTCTGAATCTCATGGTACTCCAGCAGGTTGTGAACGGAAGCAAGGTTTCCACCCATGGACTCACAGTTTTTCTACAGCAGAGATAAATACGAGGGAGAGAGAGAAATTGCAAATTAACCACATGTCTATGTATGTGCAAACAAAATAAACATATTTTAGAAGCCTTCTGAACTAAAACAAAGTCTCCCTCTTTACCTCAGCTTGGGCCCAAGTCATGGGTTTTGGAACGTAGTGGAAACAGCGACCGCTGAACTCAGACCAGCGACCAGAACAAGCTGTCGACCTCTTGACCAGGTGACTCTTTGCTGAGAACAAGTAGAGTTTGGTGAGTAATGTGGAGTCTCTAAAGTCTCTATATGTAGATATGAAATCAACTTATTTTAATGACATGACACTGTAACATAACAACATAAAATAACATGTCACGATATAACAATTATGACATAAATGACATATCAGCACAAAATAACATAACATAAAACAGTAAAACATGAATTTTTAAAACATAATACAAGACGACGTAATATAAGTTACAATAAACATTTTATCCTCCAATGCTTTTAATTTATACAACATGTAAGTCATCAGCAGAGCATCAGAACAACACACACTGACCTTGTTGGGCATTTTCGGGGTTTGCCTCTGGAAGAGCTAGAAAGTTTGACACAGCAGTTATTGACCTTGATCGTTATTGTACAACACATTCATCTGTAACACTTTCTGTTTATAAAACTGACCAGCAGCTCGAGTCAGAGCCATCATGGCACAAACAAGTGCAGACACAGTCAGCATCTTCATGATGGAGATGATGAGATGATGATGACCTTTGCTATAGAGAGAAAAACTCAGGTTATTGATACTTCTGTAGAACAGAAGACCTATGTCCACTGTCAGTCCAGTAAAGGAAAGTCAGAAGTTTGTAGCTGCAGAATTACCTTCTCTTCTTCCTTCTCAGCGTCTGTAGCTTCAGCTGTCTGATGTGGAAACACGGATGAAGAGACACACCAGCCCTTATAAACAGATACTTATCTTGTCATCTCTCACAAATTAGGGAACTGAGCACAGACACGAAAACATACACAGAAACATTATCAAACACAATATTGTCAGAAACATAAATTAAAACTATATTACGATCAGTTAAGTAATAGCCATAGGTCAAACCTAACCACATCACATGATCCATCCAAGAACAGAAAGCTTGACCGGCATAGCAACCTTAACTAAGGTGGACTTAGCGATAATACTTTTATTATAAACAAGACTAAACAAACTCAACTTATACTTAAAATAGATAAACCTTTTCATTTTTGTCATTATTAACATATTTCGGCAACAAATTTATATTACACTCTTCATTTTGCACCAGTTTAACCCCTTGTGAGAAGCCACAAAGCAGTTCCGCTCTTGGGTAACACAGAATTACACAACACATATCGAGCACCTGTTCCTCACAATGCCTTTGCATCCTGGCATTTTGCAGGAGCTAACTCAACTAACTTCCCAGCTCACTGCCCTGCTCTCATAGAAAAATTTGGCTTGGATGTTCAATAAATAAAATCAACATATATAAACAGAGTTTACAGGGTACAACAATTGCAGTAGGTTGAAGGTACGCAGTTCACCTCCATATTCGCATATAGTTGCCATATGCCAACAAATTAATTTTAGCATTTTACCAAAAAACAAATCCTAACTGGTTTAAATTAGGAAATTCTTCTTAAATATTGAAAAATGTGTCTATTTTAGCTGACCTCAGATCATGAACTGTGCAGTGTCATAGATCGGTAGGAAAAGGGTGAAAAGACCCATTTTCACGATTAAAAAGCAAGGATTTTGAAGCATTTCCTATTATTGCAATAGAGATAAAGTAATTGTTTCCATATGGCAATAGAGGGTTAAGACAAAGGAAAAGGGAGCGCGCTATATTAATATAATTTCTAGGAAACAGTGTTGAAGTTTCAAATAATAGGGAAACAAATGGGAGAAGTGTCATATATGTATAGGCTAAACTGTGAAATTCATTAAGAAATGATGGTAAATGAGGAAACCTACATAAAACATTTAAAAAAGGCCTAGTGCCAGCTGTGTAGAGCTTAGAGTCATTGCAAGTGCCCTATTAAGAGTGAAACACTAAAATTAAGTTGCAGGTTCACATTAATAACAGCAGGAGTGTCAAACTGGGTTTAGAGGCTCCTCATACTTTTCTATTGCTCATTATAAAATGCAAGGAAAAGAAGGCCTTCAATGATGATTCTGCAATTTGCAAACCTTCTTCTTCAGTTGCTGCCACTTGTGGAAAATGTACCAGAGGCAATGACTGAATGAAGGTTACTCGTTAACTGCTACCAATTACTGTATGTAGCATATACAATATATACAATATACAAAGACCAAAACTTAAACCTGTGCTCAATGTCTGTATCTGGACAAAATTTAAAAGAGAAGTTGAGTAATTATTTCAACAGTTAGTGATCATCACTTGTAGTCAGTTTACTTAATGTCAAATCATTATTACCAAACAAACTAGAAGCTGATCAGGCAGCAATGTCACTATTTGTTTAAACTGAACAGACAAATATTGCATTTGGATGATACAATCTTTATCACCTAACTCTTTCAGATATGTTTTGGTTTCATATAGTCACCAGTATCATATAAAACACAACAATACAGAAGAAAAAACACAGACACAAAACAACACAAGGATTCAAAACCTGTCTAGAACAATAGAAAGCTCTGTGGGCAGAGAAGTGCCCTGCAACACATGCATTCAAAACAGAAGTTTGGGAATTATTGCATCAGAGTAAGTGTGCTTCCTCTGCCACAGAAATATCACTGTCACTGAAGAAGATGTTGCATAATGCAGAATCATCCATGAAAGTCTTCTTTGCGTGTATTACTGAACAAAAGAAAAGTAGGGGGGGGGGGGGGGGGCTCTAAACCCAGGCAGTGTACCAGTTTGTGTCTTACATTACTCCTGCTGTTTTCTTTTCATTTATTTCACTTCATTTGACAGGGACGGTGCTCATTAATCAACAGCAACGTAACTGTAAATGAGCCAGAGTTAGCTCAACAGGTTAATTTTCATATGTCCATCAGTTATTAAAATGACAACCTAAAATAAAGAATTTAAATGAAAATTCAAGTAAAATAAAATGACTGATTACAGTCAGCACTTAAAAGCAATATATACCGAATAAAGGGAATGATACAGTTTTGTGGTACCTGTTGTGACCTGAGCTCTCTGCACAACAAATGTCTTCAGTGGAAGCGGAGCAGTGTTGTGTAATATCTTATAAACTAGACAAAATGTACTACTGTGTTTTAAATCTGATCGTAGCTTGTGTGTCTGTATCTCATATTTTATTAGTTGGTGAGTCCACTGTGCAGTTTCAGCCTTCACTGCAAACGCACACACACAGCAGAACTTAGCTTTACGATAAGTAGCCTATTTTTTGCCAACAGGTCCCTTTGTATGTATTCCATTATAGATCATTAGTTTGTGTGACTGTAGTAACTTTGGTTGTGTTTAGGTGTCATTTTGGTATGAATTACCCTAAATAATCTCTGTTAAAAAATAAAAATCTTGACCTTACTAATTTGTGAACCAGCTTGTTTCAATTTGCATGAAACAAGAAAGCACAGTTCACTCTGCAGAATAAGTTTGTGCTAAAAGCCTGCTTTTCATAGGACATTCAGTCTGCTCTTATTAAAGGCACAAGACCTCAGAGACGATTTAGATCTTCTTAATTCACTTAGTTTTTTAAGTAGAGTTCCAGTGATAGAAATGAAAATAAAGACATGAAATGTGATATAGAGCCTTCAGGGTACATATGAGACTGATGGCATGAAGAGAGAGAAAACATCCACCCGTGTTTGTGATTTTTCCAGGTGCTTCGTGCCTCTGTGTCAGCCCAGGAATCAGTTGGTTTTCTTTATACAGACAGATTGAAGGTGGTAGTGACACTTTGTATCATCCCAGCATTTGTCACCTGTGTGTATGACAAACACATGAGCTTCATTGTTTAGCAGAATATATAATATGATACAGAGTAAAACTAAATATTTTATTACAATATTTTAAATATTTAAATATTAAAATAATAAATGGAAAGGCTTTAACGCCATGGCAGAGTTATGAAAAGATATATATATAAATTTATAATTTATCTCACAGTGCTTAAAAAATTATGGATACATTTATGAACTGATCTCACTTTTGTCATTAATATAGCCTTTTTTATTTACACAAGTAAATTATTGTCCCATGCAAAAATATGCAAAAAATGTCTTTTCTGATTTACCTCCATGATTTATTTGTAAACAGTGCTGGCCCCTAAGGTTATTTGGCTCTCCTTTGCACCAGTATGAAAAGGTGAAAGGCGTACCATCACTCCAGAACCAAAAACGCTCCTAAAAAACACAAATCAGAATTGAATAGATTTATTAATAACAATCTAAACTGAATCAAACATTGTAAACATACCCTAAAGACCATAAAGCTTTGACAAAACATTCTCATTACAAATTCTACTTTAAATTCTTGGAAGAGGAACAAAAGCATCTGTCATTTCAGCAGGTCTGTTCACGTTAAAGTAACAAAACCCTTTAATGGCTCTAAAAATTATTTTATGTCATGTGACGTTGTTACAGAGCGACAAAGTCCGCATAGGGAGGAGATCACATATCACGGCCTTACTGAGCAAATGGATGTCAAAGTATTATTTCTATTACTTTTTGTAACAATGAATGATATACCTGGGCAGCGTCAGCGTCTCCGAGCCATGTCAGTGGATTCCCATGAGTTTTAGCAAAACAGCCTTGGTTGCTACAGAACCCTTTTTTTTATTTATGCCACCACATGAATCATATTATTCCAACTTTGGGCCTGTTCAACATCCGTGCCCCTCTAGCAGTGGTACTGTGGCCCTTAAGGGGGACCCAAGCCCCAGTTTGAGAACCACTGATACAAGGTAACAGGCAATAGTTTAGTTTTATTACATTTATTTGTCAGTCAGCAAGTACAAAACATGTATTTAATACAAAGAGAAGAGATCTATGTGTTAAAATTTATATGTATCAGCTCGCAGCTCCTATAGCTACTTCTCGTCTGCAGGCCCTGGGCAGATACATGTTTGACATCACATATTAATTCAACTCAGTTCAATTCAATTTTATTTATATAGTGCCAAATCACAACAACAGTTATCTCACAGCGCTTTATTAGCTATTTGCAATTCCTAGTTGCAGTGTACTAGATTATGTCTACACTGTAGAATATGTTACAAAAAAAGGCAAGTTCTGGAGTCTAAAAGGAATGTCTTTTAATCCGGGGGGCGGATTGGCCATCGGGAATTTCGGGAACAATCCTGTTCAAGAATTTTTATTTTTCATTTTCTTTAAATGATCCACGACTGTGCCGGCCGGTCAGCTGCAGTGAAAGCTGTCTGTGTCTCCCCTGTTAGGCGCTGCGCCGACAGGGGAGGTCCTTTGGACCGCTCCCTGTAGTGCACAAACAGACGCTGTGAACGGCGCCAGGCGGGCATGCACGCCAAATAGCAGGACAGCGCTCGCACCGGGCAGAAGAGGTAGGACATGGCATCCTCCACCGACCCATGGGGGGGGGATGACACGCGACCGAAAGGAGCTCGTAATGCTTTTAGGCATGAACGTCGGGTTAGGGCGCAGGATAGCCAAGCTGCCGTCGCCCTGAATCCTGAGGCACGACGGAGCCACAGGGAGGGCAGCCAGATCACTGACCCTCTTGGCTGATGAGCAAGGCGACCTTAGCCGAAAGGAATCTCGGGTCCGCCGTATCCAAAGGCTCAAACGTGGCTTGGGTTAACTGCGCCTTCGCACCCTCTAAGGAAGCGCTTCACCACGGCTGCCCCGCCAGCAGCCGCTGGAGACAGACAGATGTGGGACGTGACCATGCCCAGGGGGGACCCCGACTGAGAGAGAGAGAGAGGGTCCCGCCAGTAGGCCACAACCTAGGGCACA